CTGATCCATGACGGTAAAGCCTTCATGATTCAAGATTTCCACATTTCACTAAGTGCGAGATTTGACTAACTGTCACCATCTTAGTCGAAAATCTTCTTAGTCCACACTTCATATAAAATCAAGAGTCTATAGGAATCAAATAATTCGGTAACATGGATCTAAATTATCATAATTTTAACTGAAAATATTGGATAAAAAATAAAATTTTAAAATCATTCTGGTTAATTCTGCTCAGTTAAAGAAGCTTCCTTGTAAACTTCAAAGACATGGCGTTCCCTTTCGAAACAATATCAGACATTAATCAGCCATCAATGGTTTGGGTTAACAGATAACCAATAAAACTGAAATCACTCGTCGCCACACTGTCTTTTACTGAGTTGTATTTTGTCTGTTCTTAGGGATTTAATGTTTCGGCATTGCTTATCTTACCTGTTTTTTATTTTTCCAAAATAGATTAAAATATCAAACAAGATGTGTTTTGTGAAACACTGATGCCCTTGTATGACAGCTCATGGCGAAGGTTAAAGTTTCTCAAATGCAAGTCAAACTCCAAAGTCAAGAGATAAAAAATGTTGGTACCCAAAGAAAGATCTTACCACAAGGAATACACATGTCAAATATGAAAGCATCGGCACCAACCGTTCAATAGTTATGGCGAGGTTTAAAGTTTTTCAAAGTAGGTCAAACTCCAAGGTCAAGGTCAAAGGGTAAAAATTAATAAATTAATGGTGCCCGAGGAAAGGTCTTGTCACAAAGAATACACATGTGAAATATGAAAGCCCTAGCACCAACCCTTCAAAAGTTATTACCAAGATTAAAGTTTTTAAAAGTGGTTCAAACTCCAAGGTCAAAAGGTCAAAATTATTGATACCCAAGGGAAGGTCTTGTCAAAAAGAATTCAACTGTGAAATATAAAAATTCCTAGCACCAACCCATCAAAAGTTATGACCAAGGCTAATTTTTTTAAAAAGTTGGTCATAATCCAAGGTCAAAGACAAAGGGTCAAAATTGTTTGTACCCAAGGAGAGGTCTTGTCACAAGGAATACATACATATGAGTAGTATGAAAGCCCTTGCACCAACCGTTTAAAAGTTATGGCCAAGGTTAATATTTGATAAAATTTTGCAGAAGTGGGTCAAACTCCAAGGTCAAGATCAAGAGGTCAAAAATGTTGGTAATCAAGGAAAGGTCTTGTCACAAGGAATACACATGTGAAATATGAAAGCTAAGCCATAGCTTCAATCAATCAAAAGTTAAGGCCAAGGTTAAGGTTTTTGCGGACAAACAGAGAGCTAGACAGACAGACAGACAGAGCAAAAACTATATGCCCTCGAATATTCGATTACGGGGTAGTAAAAAGAAAATTTCTATAAAAATGGATTCAATGAGGTGGGCTATTTTAAAGATACATTAAGATCATAGGATACCCAAAGTCTATGGAAGGTTCTCTCTCTCGATTCGTTTATTTATGGTAAAAGTACAGTAAATTTATATTTATTTTGGAGGGATTTTGTTTTCTCATATTTTTGTATAGAATTTCAGTATAGATATAAAAGTAAAGATTTAAGGAGAATGAAAAAAATAAGTCTGGTTTGATCGAGAAATTTCGTGATAATTATGTGTTTTAGCATTAATAAAACTTATGCAAACTGTTTTATTAATTTTTATAACATTTTTTTAAAAGTATCCTATGTCCTTCGATCAGAACTTTGAAATAACAATTGCATCAGATTTAAGAGTATTAAATACTTAAGTGGAAATGTTCGTGAACATCAAAATATAAGACAACAAAATACACATTAGGAGCTGAAATCAAAATGAAAGATAAGGATGAAAAAGATATATGTACAATGTATTATGTTTTTACTCTTTTAAAAGTATACATTATAGGCACCTTTTTGGTTAAAACATGGTGTGATATTTAAACAAGCTAGCGGTCCATGGGTCACAACTCGTATCCAAATTACATTCAGATACATGTAGTTTGATTCTTTTTGAGGTGGTCAAATTCTCAGCATAAAATCGTATATTCAAGAAAATATATATGGTAAACATATGAGTCAAGTTTTAAGACTAATCTGCGGAATTTGGGACCTTAATCAGGAAATACCACAATCGAAAATCGAGAGAACTATACATACAATATATGGTTCAATCCTATATCTAACCATGGACGTTGAGTGAGGGTGCTTGCAAATTAATTTGACTAATTACTTTATATAGCTTTGTTGTTCTTGATTTTTTTTTTCCTTGTCAAAAAAATTTCTGAGCTGGATTTTTGGGGGGGGGGGGGTAATTCCTTGATCCGCGCATGCTTTGAACACAGCCAAGGCTCTACCTTGAAATCGCTCTATATTCATGGTTTCGACTAACTTCAATCTACATTACATGGGCTTTCAAAGTTTTCAATGTAGTACTCGCTCAATAGTTAATTAGTCCCGGTGTAAAGAAGAATAATTGCCCCATAAAAACTGACCGGGTGTCGATTTTGCCATCGCAAAATGACCCCCCCCCCCCAGCTGTAGAAAAATGTCATTGTTTGTAGAGATGGAAACTTAGGGCATAGTTTTCTAAGTTGATTTTACGGGGTTTTCAACAGTTTAAATCAAAGTCAGCATTTCAAAAATTCCTGGGTAATTATAATGATATTGTTGGTAAATACATTTAGTAATTTCAGATCTGGTTTTCTTAAAAAAATTAAAAAACAAAAAAACAAAAAACAAAAAACAAAAAAACAAAAACAAAACAAAACAAAACAAAAAAACATGAAGGCCATTACTTTAGCAAATACGGAATTAAAGGCAATAGTACGTTGCCGTTGAAATCAAGACAAAAATATATAATTGTCTTGACGAATTAAATATTTGTTCTGACAAAAAACCTAATAGTTCTGACGAGTCTGTTCCTCGTTCGGACGAATTAAATATACTTGTGCGTTAGAAGAAATTAAAAGTAAATAACTCTTTTGTTCGGAATTTTTGACGAACTGGATTTTTGCTTGGACAACATACTGAATTACATATGTGTTCGAACATAAATGATATTTCTTCTTTTAACGAGACTTATCATTCCTCTGGTAAAGGACAGTATCCAGAAAATCAAAGATGTACATGTGTAGAGCACATGGATCCAGTGGGACGGGATATGGATGTCTGATAAAGTTATTTTAATTGACTCCATTCCTTTGCGGTTTTTGAGGTTTCATGGAAGTTTTACTTGCAATTCATTTTAAAATTGCATCTCAACTTTTGTTTGCCATATGCACTGGATAGTTTCTTTCTTTTAATATTTGTTCTTTCGGTTTTAATGAAAATGAACCAAACGTCTCTAAAACAGCATTAACTCTTCCTATTCAAATTGTTAGACACATTTGCTATGTGTCCGAAAATTCAATGTATGTACACTGTTAAATTCATTGAATTAAACAAAAACACATCTCTCTCTCTCTCTCTCTCTCCTATAAAATGGAGGAATAAAAATTGTTCTGTAAATCAATGATAATTTGTCAAATCAATATGGATGCATTTCCACATAGTGTAAATTAAAGTCGATTGGTGTTGTCAACTTACCATAAAAGACAGATGATTTTGTTCGAAAGATTTTGAGTCTTGAAAACATATTATCGCTGTATCCTCATTTACCTCAAGTGATCATTTTGGCCCTCGCCTCTTGATTTATATTTTTTAATCCTTTAACCCCCCCCCCCCTCCCAAAGGTAAAGTATGTTCTAATAAAATCTACAAGGGGTCATTATTCTACGGGGACATTTTTCTTCACGTAGGGTATGCAGTTTTAAGGGTGATATCGATGCCACTTTTTCTACAGGCAAAATGGTCATTTTTCGATGACCGGGGTCATTTTTCGATGTCGAATAATGACCGAGAGTCATTTTTCGACGTACGTCGAAAAATGACCCCCGGTCATTATTTTACGGGGGTCATTATTCGTCTTTACACCAGCTTAGAGAAGAAACTTTTAAACGTCCCACCGATGAATTACTGAAAACTTGTTTATAACTATCAACTCTTGAAAGTTAGAAATCTGAAAAGTGAACAACAGATTGATTGGTTTTGATTCATTCTTCTATGCCAAACACATTTTTACTTGCATTATTCCTTAATTGATAATGTATTATATTGTATTTTCGAATTCCAAAATGAAAAAGTAGATTACAGTGTACTTTTTTTCTTAACAAAAATAAGAATTCTCTTGATTGAAGAAATTCCAGAGGCATTTTTATAAAATGTGGCATGGTATTCTATTGTTTGACAATTGAAGGAAGAAAGTAGTCCATATAGGATGTAGTTCTAATGTGAGATATATTTGAATTGTGCATCATTGGTTCCGAGATTGTAAGAATGATTTGTTGGGTAATAAAGTTCTATCAAATCATAAAAAATATTGAGGTGGATAACCATTAAAAATTTATATAAAACAATACATGTATTAACTAATAAAATTGTCCTCCTTGTTTCTCATACAATTTTAAACAACAGGAGTTGCATCTTAATCCAGTTATTATTCTGCCTGTTTCAACTTAAAATTAAATATCCTCTAATTTAATTTAAATTTGGTGTCTTTTTTCAGAGCAGTATAATAAATGCAAAATATATCTAAAACAAGAGTTTTACGTGTAACCTTATTCTTTGAAAGCATACTAAGAATATTTAATTTTGTTGTAGTTTTTTTTTCCCCCATGGATTGTATATGTGATCTCCACATAGCATCTATTTGAAAATGTAGACGTAAGTAGGTATGACATTTATTCTGAATAATATCTGGGCCATGTTCCCAAAATTTACCTGGAGGATATACAGTGGTTACTGAAATATTTTTACACACGTAATGAATTCTAAATCTCTAAACAATTATCTTTCTGTTCGAATAATATAATGATTGATTTAACAAGTAAGAACTCAATCAAGTCAATTCTGGTTGGTTATTACTTTCATCTCTGGTCCAATCAGAATTATTCTTGCAAAGATTGTTTGGGTTGACTGCTAAGATGGCGGACCCAACTGACAGTTTTTAAACTTGAAAATTTAATATCGTGTTTTTTACCTATTGGCGTTGTATTTAATCATGTTAAACACAAGGGACATTTAACTTCAGCAATACTAGATGATGACTTCGTGTAATTGTCATCTTTAAAACATTAGGAGCTTGTTATTGGGAAAGCAATTCGCAATTAGCACTTTTTCAGGGCGATCAATAACCAACGCTTCATGTCAATACGAATCAACAGAAAACTATCTTACAATTTGGAATGGTTTGTACCATTGAACTTTTTATTAGAATTGGTTGAAAGTTGGTGGGTTTTAAAGCCTAGGTTTATTAGTGGACCTAACGCACGATAAATTTGTGTTTTATTCCAACAGGTGTGGCAGAATCTCTTGATTAAGCTATATGGCTTGAATTAGTTTTATAGCTTTAATAAGCCATTCCAAATAGCTTTATTTAGTTATTTAAAAACAGTTTTTATCCCACAATTATCCCTTTTACATGAAATAGATGCTGACAGAAAGTCTCAAATATGTGACTACTCATATTTGCATATTTGTACTTAGTCCGAAATATCTGACATTTTCCTGGCTTTTTTACAATTTGATATTTTACGTGCCAGGAAAACATCTGAACTGGCACTATTACGAAAACTGGAAATTTGCCGCCTCCAACTGGAGGCAGCATTCTCGGGTTGATTTTCGAAATTTGCAAACCAAATTAAATGGCAAACTCACAACTTATCAATAGTACAATACTTAAAGTACTCACCAACATCGTTTTTGTGGTTCGTTTATAAAATATACAATCCGATGAAAACATTTTATCTGACAGTCGAAATTTGTTTTCATTTTGTGCATTTTAAAATCTTGCAATTCCTGATTCGAAATGTGGAGTGATGTTTTCTTTTCATCGATATTGGTGAGTACTAGAAGCATTGTGCTATTGATAAATTGTAATTATGGCATTTAATTCAGTTTGCAAGTATCAAAAATCAACTCCGGTTACAGACGGCGAAATTTCCAGTTTTTGTAATGGCGTCGGTTCTGACGTTTTCCTGGCATGTAAAGTATCAAATCGTAAAAATCCAGGAAAACGTCAGATATTTCAGACTAATTTGTACTATGAAAAAGCTATCCAAGATAATTTAAACATTTCTGCTTTTGTACACTTTTGAGCAAAAAATGTGTTTCCATTCTTTAGATAATTGCGCAACACTTTAAGTTCACTGTGGCATGGATTATATTTCTGTATTATTACCAATCAGTTAATTGGCCTCCATTATAATCTTATTCAAGAAGCAGCTGTATGGACAAAAATCAACTGCTTTATTTATCCCCAAGACTTTAAAAACTTTAATTGCAAATGCTTCAAAAAGACACATTTTGAGGAAAAAATTCTTTATGCATTGTATAATGTTTTCAAAAAATTAATAAGTTGAAACTATCATTTAAAAAAAACTGTGTCTTATTGACATGCTGAAAATATTGAATATTTAAGGGAAAATTATGATTTACATAGCTTTATAAAGCTATATAGCTAATTCAGCTACATAGCTTACGAGATTACTGTAGATTCCTTATTTTACGCGAGTACTTAATATCGCGAAATGGCCCAAGGGCGTCAAATCGCGAGAATAATAATTCGCGAATGGGTGATTTATTTAGAGATTTTACCTACATTAAAGCACTATAAATATAAAAGTGAGTAATTTTATTTCGCAAGTAGTGCTTCTCGCGTAATTACGCGATAATTTATTCCTCGCGTATATTTAGGAATCTACAAGTATGTGGGACCTGCTAAAAACATATGCATGCACAACATATCAATACATGTACTTAATATTGCGATTACCTTGTGGTTATCTAACTTACTGAAGCTCTTTTGTGGCCAAGTTGAGGAAGCTCTAAATCTCACAAGATTTCCAGGCCACCACATTGTTTACACTAGTGACAATCGAATGATTTGAATAATCAGTATGCCAAAAATACAATGTATTGCCAAGAGTTGAACTCCAAATACATGTAGTAGGTTGTCTAATTAGGAATGCTTAGAGTATTTTAATTATCAGCTTCCAAAAGGAACAATTATCAGAAAGAAATTGTTGAATTTAATTAAAGCTGGCTTAGTGAAAGTATCATAAAAATGTAACACAAAGGACTAGCTCCTCTCAAGTTTTATTAATTTATGTTCAGCAAGATTCTTGCATATCTGTCCTTATATAATCCACAATGATCAATCTCACACTGTATTCAACAGCTCAAGTTTCAAGTTTTTATTTAAGACAAAGACCCCAACTGGGGTATATGAATACAAATGATACAACAAAATAACATACAAGCATGAATACATGAATGAGTGGCACTAATGTTAATTACTATATACATGTATAGTTCAAAACTTTAAAGTATAGAAGGCCTCTGCTAGTATTAATTAAATCTATATGTATTACAACGTATTTTACACAGTAGTTTTGTTATTATTGCTCAATGTCCCCAGCTAACAAACATTTCCTACCTCCACCGTGAAAGAGTTCTGTTACCGGTAAGTTAAATCGTGATATCAAGTATTGAAGCTTAGTAATGATTTTTGTTTACTTGTGTTATAAGGAGGAGAATGTACAACAAGGATTAACAAATCATGAAGCCCTTAGAAACCTGAAGAATGAATTGTCAAAAGAAATAGAGCAACATGAAGAAAAGGAGAAACAACAATCATTTGGATCCCAGTTTGAGTCACTTAATATTTCTAAGATTGAGTCCACTTTCCATTGGAGTGGATGCTTCATTGTAGCAACAATTGCTGTATTGTTGCTGGTAACTTTTGGAATAAGTACACAGGGGTACATACATATGTTCATTTGTAATTAGTGTTCAAGTTAGTTTGAATCAATTGAATGCTAAGATGCTAATATTACTGAGTGAAAAGAAAAAAATCTGGATAATTGAAGTAGTATTTATAAATATGTAAATTAAATGTTGATAAGGAAGATTCTTTGTTCTTTGAGTTACAGAGTGTGTTTTATTTTATTTCATTGTAAATTAACTTGAATGTGTATTCATATATTTCATTGTAAATTAACTTGAACCAAGAACAAGTATTTGTTATCTAATAATTTTTATCAAGATTGACTATCAATCTCATTTTTTATTTTTGTTTTTGTAGCGCTGACAATGGATTTGGATGGTACAAAGTTGAATTTGTTGTATGTGTTTTTACCATTGTTATAAACATTTGGTTTTCTGTGTGGAACACTCGACTTCGTAAAAGGGAATTCATCTGTTTATCAAAACTAGTGCTCAAGCAGATAGAAGGTGCATTCAGAATCTATTTCTTCTCAGTTAATTTATGTTTTTTAAAAATATTTTTTTGACTTATCTTATTTTAGTAATGTATTTATTTTAATTCTTTTTTGGCTTTTGATTTCGTATATTAGTTTATGTCTGGTGGAGAGGATATATATTGATTTAATTTTTTTTTTTAATCAAAATAAAGAATGCCTATCCAAAACAAGCTGGAGTATAACAGATTTCCCACCAGTTCATTCACCAATCTCACCATGCATTTCCTTACAATGGACAATCAGAGATGGAAAGAATACAAATGTTCCCATTCCTCTCTTGGTCAAAGGGGACATAATCCTGCTAAGGCCAGGACAAAGAGTTCCAGCAAAATGTGTGATATTGAGAGAGGTAACTTATTATTTTTCTTTCATTAAAATCAGCTAAAAGTACTTTGGATACCTGGTATTTAATAATCATACCCATACGATATACATTTTCTTGATTTTTTTGTTTGTTTAAGGAGTTAAGAAGAAGGTACGGTTTTAGCTTTATTGTGCCCTAAAAATTTAATGTTTTCAAAAAGTTTTGAAACTGGCTTAAATATTAGTTGAGTATATGACTGTGATAAATCAGGAAAAAATATGACATGAAGGAGTACCATTCTGGAAATATTTTATCAAATCATTAATTTGATGCATTTCTCTATTTTAAACAGAAAAAGCCTCAAAATGACTCATTTCAAGGGTTATTTTCCTTAAGAAAATAGTGTCCACAGCCGTCGCCCACTTTAATTTTTAGATATGTTGTGTGAAATTCTTTGAAATATCACATATATCAAAATCATTGTGGGCGAGCCTGTGGACAATATTATCTGATAGAAAATTCCATTGAAAATTTGTGTCTTCTGCAACTTTTTTAAGAAAATATGAGAAAATGCACAAGTTTATGACGTCACAATTAGCATTTAGAAGGCCATGTGAGAAAAATGATTTGTATGATCTTTATGCATGGAATTTCTATGATTTAGAAAATGTATGTTTTAATTTTTTACAAGACTTTCATTTTTAAGAAAAACACAGGGCAAGATTTGTATTGAAACCGTACCTTGTTCTTTAACAGATGTACATTTAATTACAAAGAGACTGGGAGGAACTACTTCTTTTTTATGTTCCATATAAATTTCTTCATATTTATACAGTTTTGATAGGATGATCAAAACAGTATATTTTTTACTTCTATATGAAAAACTTAATTATTTGGAATATTTCTTTTTTGTATATATTGACAAAAATATTGTATACTGTATGTATATAAGCATGTGCATTTTTACAACCACCTGGTACTAGTAGAGAAAGGAAATTTAAAATAGTTGCATTGTATGATATACGTGTATCTTTCAACAGAACTCAGTTGGGGACAAGATTTTGATGGAGGGGGATATTTACGTACAAGAGAAGGAAACTGAGAAGAGGAGGCTAAGTGCAGATGCACCCCAGAGTAAAACACCAGTATCTGTGACTCATTTTAAGCTGCTTGAGACTGCTTATGTTTCACAACTCAGGTAAAAATCATGTTTTTATTATAGTGAGTTGTTAAAATCAGAATTTGTTTCTTTTTCTCACATTAACATTGACAAGCTATCAAGGTTGCATAAAAATAACTAATACTTAAAAAGTACTTTTTTTTTTTACTTTGATAAGTAATTTGAATATTTGCTGAGGATGAGTGAGCACCGTACATGATTGCCCCTTGTGATGAGTGAATGTTTTAGAAATCCATTGATAATGCTGGTCAAATGATCTGAATATTTGTAATTAAGCATATTAATTGTTGATTTAATCTTTAGAAACAATATTTTTGGGACAAGTTACTACACCAATCGATAGAATGCTTTATTAAGCTTTGGTACTGGTCCCATTTAACTAATGGTCATTGAAATGTTTTTCTCACTCTGACAAAATGAATACTAGACCTTAAAACAAATTACCAATTTCATTTCCTATTGATATCAAACATATATGAATATATGTAATAAAATTAATCTAAAAGCTTAAGCGATGATGTTTTTATAGAGAACTATTGAAGGGATCAATTCAAATGTATGTACATTACTAGATGAATGTGAATTATGAAAAATGTATTTGATTTCAGGAAAATATTGAGTAATAAAGTGAAGCATCCCGTAAGCTCAACAGAAAATGAAAGATACAACATTGCTTGTGTTTGGCTGGAGAGGAGACTACTGCCATTTGTTGCTGTAAGTAGTGAAGTTCTGAAATTTTCTCTTTTTAATGATGTAAGGATTATCTCACTTTGCTCATTGTTTTTCTTGTGTTGTAGATTTTACTTGTGGTGGTGAATGTCCTGAGAACCATGTACATTCCAGGACACGTCGGACATTGGGCGGAGACAGTCATCATATTACCTGTGAGTTTCTAAAGGTTTTTCATTTTAATTTCAAGACGCAGTTGCCTTGCTTTAATTCTAATTATCACCATTTCCTCTTTGTTACCTTTCATTTGATGTTGAAAACTGATCTTCCAAAAAAAGCACATGCATGATATAATATTAAGAACAAGTCTTATGTATATGTTTCATTTTATTTAAAAGTAATTTGGTGCTGTTTTAATTTTGAATCTCTTTAATTTATTTTTTAGATAAATGCTATTTTACCTCTAACACCCCTTTTTCTGCCAATTATCTGGAGAATGGTGAATTACTATGGTCAAGCTAGAGTGTATGCTGCGTTCACAGTTGCCAAGGACAAAAAGGTCATATGCAAATTCCCACTCTAATTATCTTTTGAAGTGGTAAAGTTGCAAGGCTAATTTTTTTTATTTATCAATTTTTTTTATGCACAGTCCAACTTCATTATCTTAAACTCAACAGAGATGCGGAAAAATCTTCAAGATATCAGAGTGTTTAAGATATATTGAGGTTAAAATACATTAAGAAAAAGTGATTGGGCCTTACAACTCAGTTCAAAATAACTGTGGTATTCAAGATATCAAATAGGGCTGGGTATCGGCTAGGAATTTTGTATGGCAATATACTGTGATATTTTCAACTGTATTTTGATATGTATTGCAGTATTTTCAATAACAGTAAAAATGATCTTTTTTTACTTTATAAACTCATTTATAAGCAGCGTGTATAAAACTATTATAAATACATTGTAACAAAGAAGTTCTTGTTGATTTTACATTTTGCAACAAAATGCAAGTATACAACAGCAACCTTACTGTTTGGCATGATTGAAAACTTTTCTGAAATCTTAAATTTCATATTTTACTTTAGAAATCCCAAGCCCAAGCTTTTTTCCGGTATATATACCCATACTGAAAAAAGGTACTGCAATATGGTATGTTTTATCAATGAATCGCAATATACTGGAATATCAATATTATTGCACAGCCCTAATATCGAAGTCTGAAATACTGAAGTTCAACTGTACAGTGTATATGTAAATATGTATAGAGTTAATTGCAAAAATTCATCTTTTAAGTTTTAATTTAAAGGGCAAAGAAATTGAATAATATTTCTGCATATTTTTTTAAAATATTAAGTTTGTAGTAGCATACACTAAGCTCTTACTAGATTATTGTCCATTAACATTTGGTTACACATATTTGGAGAGGGCAACCAAAGATTGGAACTTGTGTCCAATCCCACACTGACATACTGTCAATAAAATATGTTCAAAACATGGACATATTTCTAAATTCTCTTTTTAATTTTACTTATATTTATGCCTCCTCTCTTTAAGTCTTCATTACTAATATGAATTAAAGTTACAAATCAACAGAAGGAAAAAAAATTGATGCAAGTAATATTAAACAAATCAGTGTACTGTAAAATCAAATTTTTTTGGTTTGAGGAAAAAAATATTGATTTAAGGGAATAAATTTCGAGGTTGGGAGAGAGACATGATACTGTAGTTTGAAATTTTAACATTTCTTTGAAAACTTGAATTTGTGGGCCCACTCACCACAAAAACAACGAAAATTAAACCTCCACGAAAATCCGTGCTTTCACAGTCTCTGATTGTATTCAGTGTACTGTAGTCAATATTCAATAAAGGTTAACAGAGTATCTTTTAAAGAAAACTCTAACATAGTGCTATTTTCACACAAAAAAATTAAAATTATTTTGTCATCTAGGATCATTAATTTATTTTTTAAATCAGGCTAATTTAAACATTTTCTTTATTAATTAAGTACAAGAGTGCATGAGGCAAACATTTGATATGTATATTTACATGTTTTTCTATAGACTGTTAATTCTCAATAGTTATCTTAACTTCTCCTTGATCATCAACAGGTGCTTTGTGAGGACAGTTTTAGCAGTGACAGTGACATATCAGAAGATGAAGCTAAGGTTGACATACAGCTGGGACAGATCTTAAACCTGTACTGGGACATAGCTAATGGTCAAGGCTCCGTAATCACTCGACAAGTCAACATCGCTCAGACTCTAGGCTCTGTGTCGGTAAGTGGAGCTTCTACTGCCAAATTTTAAGAAATTTTAGTTTTTAGACACATAATCCCTCTGTTCACTTGTATAAAATCTTGCTTTAATGCTTACAGTTTTCTGAAAGAATGTATTTTATAAGAAAATGCAAACAATTTTAGCATAGCTTGCGGGACGGAATTGGATTGAAAAAGACATTTTAACTTGACAAATTTATAAAGGAATAATAGACATTTATCCCATTAAGAGTTATCCCTCTTATCAGGGTATCAATGAACCTTAAGTATTCAATGTATTCATACATGTGATATGTACCAGCTGTACGCAAAATGTACAGTTTTTCGAGCCCATTCATCGTGTACCAGCGGGACACCAAAATTCACGGAATATGAAAATTTGTACAGTATTTTGAATTTCTCGCTAAATGCTGCCATTTTCCTCTCATTCTCACTCGCGAGACACTGGAAAACGTCACCTGTGTTTGACACTTGACCTTCTGATAATTGTGTAGTGTACACAAACCATCGCATGCGAAGGTGTGAACTGCCAGTTGGGATAATTATCTTGCTATAAATCCGTATCAAATACCCCTTTAGGTAGCTTTATTTTTTAAGGGGTACTTAATTACTGTTAATGTTTCGTATACATAACTTGATTGAAAAAAATTAAGCCAACTTCTAAAGTTGATATACATGACTTAATATACATGAATCTGACCCAGATCTTCGTAGGTATAAAATATACGATGTTTATTACAATGATTACGCTGGAATTTCAGAAGAATTTAAGCGATATTTTATACCATTTTTTGTACCGTTTTTTGATAGGCAGTGTGCAGTTTTTTCACCCAAATTCCAGTTTTTTTATGGCTCTTGTACAGTTTGTGGTCTTTGACTTATCACATGTATGTGTATTCTAGAGAAAAACCATGAATACCTTTTTTAGGCTCCTTTTGTTACAGCTTAAAATTTAAACTTCAGGATTTTCTTTCTAGATGTTCGTTTATTTAATCATGCAGAATTTTCAAAATGCATATGTCCAAATGGCAAAATAGTAGCAAAATTAATATGAATGATGTTATTTTTGTTAACGTCCTTCCAAATGACCAATCTGTAAATAGATGTATTACAATTTATAGTTATAGCATACATTTTACTACCTAGGTTATTTTATAGAAACTGGGTCATATGACAAAAGACCAATGAAATAAATGTCCCCATTCATCATGAAAGTGTACTTCTTTTTCAAGATAATAAACTTTTTACATAGATTGGTAGGTATCACCAAACACCAGTCTGAATTACTAAAGTATGTTAATATTTTAAGAAACCCTGTCATATATATTTGTAAGGAAATGAATATAAGAGTGCTTATGGATAAAAAATATTAGAATTTTAATACACCAATTTTAATCATCAGATTAAAAAATTGGGATGTGGCAACCAAATGCCAATTATTTCTGTGAATAGTAAGGAAATTATAATTAATGCTCCTTAGAAATTTAACCTGAATTTCTTTCTTTGATTTAAAAAATTAACTTTGTGTACATGTTATTGTAGATGTTACTGCATAAATTTACCATTCCTATTTGTATTGAGTAAACAGCAGTATTTGATAAAAGATGCTACTTCATGTCTGTTTTTCCACATTAATAGCATGAATGAAAAATTAAACTTCATCTTGATATTCATAAGAGTGGTTTTTCTCCATCAATCACTGCGAAATATCAGTGTGTGAAAAATCAGGAGGATTTCATTTACATAGATGAGTGAGTCATAGTTGTAATATGATAGAGCTGCATCATCTTGATCTTTTTTTCACAAACAAAAACCTTCAAAAATATGTTAAAGAATAATCATTGTTTTGGTGATCATTGAAAGCACAAAGAAATGATATCACGATAAGCAAAAATTACCGGTATTTTTTTTCCTCATCATTTTATATTGTAGTCATTTTGTTGTGTGGATAAAAAAGGAATCCTCTCATGGCCAAATCCCTCTGCAGAAAAGATATGTTTTCTGACCCCAGAATCTCAGAGAGAGGCTGCCAATGAGGAGGAGGATCAAGGATTTTCTAATTCCTGTGACAAAATTAACCACCCTCAAGAGGGAACTGAAAAACACACAAGTGAGTAGGATGACATAAAGTACCGGGTAAGCTTTGTTCGGTTTATAGAAGAGAGAATCATTTTGGCAGGGTTTACCGAATTAGAAAAATAATGATAATTATTTGATAATTATTAAGGTAGCATAATGCATTTTATTTTTTCATACAAGTGCTAAGTCGTACATATTTGACCAACAAATCCTGTAAACTTGCTCCTGAAAAGACATGCAGACATACATGTACCAAGAAAAGCTGATAGTAATTTTTTTTTCACTCTACTGAAAAATTTAAGGGTGGCTGGGGATTAAAATAAAATACCAACTGGTGTGTTGGTTTTGCTTTCTTAGATTTCTGCTCTTCTTCATTCTAGTTTTTTATGCCTGTCTTAAGGTGGATTGTATTATGATATGGTTTAATTGTCCATCTATCTGTTAGTTTTTTTGTGTCCAGCTCATAACTTAAATACTATGAGGCCTAAACTAATCCTACTTTGTCATCTGATACATCTTAGGTGAAAGGTGTATCACACAATAAGACTAGGTCTTTGTGACCTTGAAAGAAGATGTGATATGCCCAAATATGGTAAAACCCTGTCCGGCTCACAACTGGAAAACTGTTAGACCTAGAATCATCAAACTTGGTCAGTTAATGAATCTTAAGTAGAAGGTGTGTCTCACCTTATATTAAGGTCACTGTGACCTTATGTAAAGGTGATTTTTGTTTAAAAAGTATGTTTTAAGGGAGATATTCCCTATAGATATAAGAGTGTTGCAGTGACCTTTTTCATTAATTTTACAGCATGTGCCATTGCATTGCACTTTATTATTATCCTTTATTAAAACACCACAGCTTTCCCACTTTTCTTAAAAATGAAGTATATAAACTTCAATCTGTATCTATGCTCCTTTAATCTATGGATTTATGATTATGATTTTTGTGAAAATCTTAAACCTAGGAGTAGTACTCAGAAGTCTACAGTTAAGGATAGAGACTCTGGTTTTAAATATTGATTTAATGTTGTTTTATTTTTTTTAAAATCTATATGTTTGGGGTTTTTTTTAAGTTTTAACTTTTTGATACATGTGATATCTATACATTCACTGCATGTATAGTCAATGATTTTAATAAAAGAATTAAAAGAAGTATATAAAATCTCCAATTTCTTATATGTTTTTTTTTTTAATGTTCATTTTAAAGTTTACTTTTTTTCCCCAGCACATGGAGCATCTAGCAGTGTAGAAGTTCTTGATCTCACTCATGCTGCCATGGTAAGTTAATTTATTTGGATTATCTCTCTTTGTATGTAGAAACTTCGTACACTTAAACATCATAAGAAGCAGGTGACATGTTATTTTCATTAACATGGAAATTCAGTTTGATCTAAAAAAAAAAAAAAAAAAAATTGAAAAGTTTTAATAATTAGGTTAATGGCATTGGACTGACATTGTACTTAAGTATTGATTTTATATGGCTTTGCCATCTTAAATGATCTCAGAATTTTCAGGTTAATTAAAGTACATGTAGTTGAGTAATTAAGTAGTTGAGGCTCTGGGCTAGACAATGAACTTTGATAAACTTTCTTTTTCAAATATTCATATGTTCAAAATAATCAACTGTTATTAATGATTCCTTCTACATCAAATAATTTTCATGCAGTTCAAATTAACGATTCCTATCTATTATTTATCACTTTGTAAGTGTCTGCTGAGAAATGCACGATTGATTAAATGATTTGGTGACTATGTCGAATAGTACTGCTGAACCAAAATATTACAGCTAATATGATGTTCAGAGACATGTAATTCTCTTCAAAACTCATTTGGTTCTGTAATTAATTTTTTATTTACTATTGAATGTTGACATGGTGGTCTTAGCATTGTGTCTAGACGTATTGTCATTCATCTATATAATAACCAGACATTTCTACTTAGTTGTGGAGTCAAGTATCTCTTTGAATTCTTTTCACTGTGTCATGTGACAGTGACCTAATTATTATGTCATTCAGTGCGACCCATTTCAAAATTTTTGTGTTCCGATATGCATCTGAGAACTAGATGAAGTCATTATTTGATGATTAACTGACATTATTAAGCAAGAAAAGTCAGTTAATTAGACTGCAGAGACTCTTGCAGTGGAGAAGATTTGATAATGAGATTCTTCACTAACTATATATCATGTTGAATTTTCAATTGATATGGAATGTTCCAATCCATATGCAATGTTGAGAGTAGAGTAATATGTTTATACTTACAAGAATTACTAGTAATTCTCTTTTTGATTACCGGATTGCAGCTTTGTGAATATACATTTCTAATAGGAATACATTGAAATAAATTCTATCAGAAACAGAGTTCACAGACTGACAAGAAACCATTCTGTTTTTCTTAGCTGATCGTTGTTGTCAGTAATAAAAAAAAAACAATCAGGGAAAACCTGACTTCTTTGAAATATTACAGCTTAAAAATAGAAAGATAGTCACAGAAGGATTTGAGATTAATGGACCTATACACATTTAGATATTTTACAAAGTGCAATGATATGTACAATTACCTAAAAAAAAATTGTTTTCAATTTCTATATAGAAATATTTTAATCAGCCATGGATGGTAGGTAGTGTGATACATGTAAATACACTTTTATTAGCTAATATTTAAGGGTTTGCTAATGCAGGAAATATTTAATGCTCAGGCTTTGCCAACCAATACGTGTGCAGCATATTCCTTCATCCCAAGAACACAATTTATCAAACAGTAAAATTATTTTGAGTTCACAACATTTCCTGCCCTTGATCTACATGTGTACACTGTCCTTTTGCCAACTAGCATATTTGTGGGACTGAATAGTCAAACTGTATTATGTAATATGTGTCAACTACATTTCCAAGAAAATCATTGTTTTTGGTCATGTTTTCTTGTCCTCCATAAAATCAATAGCAATAGTTTGAGGTTAAAATGTGAACTGATATTTTTAGCTCACCTGAGCTTTCCTGACCACCTGTTGTCCAGCATCTGTCCATCTGTAAACTTATCACATTTCCAACTTCTTCTCAAGAACCACTGGGCCAATTTTAACCAAAGTTATTATTAAGCATCCATGGGTAAAGGGGATTCTAAATTATTAAATGGAGGGTCAAGCCCCCTTCCAAGAGGAGATATAATCAAGAGAAAGCAAAAATAAGGTGGGGTCATAAAAAAATCTTCTTCTTAATAATCCCTGGGCCAGAAAAGCTGAAACTTATGTGGAAGCTCCCTGTGGTAGTGTAGATTTTAAATTGTTCAAATCATGCCATTCCTGGCCCCCATGAAGTAGTTTGGGATACAATAGGGAATCAACATTTTACATTGAAATATAAGGGAAAAAAATCTTTAAAAATCTTCTTCTCAAAAACCACTGGCCCAGTAAAACTGAAACCTAAATTATTCAGATCATGCCCTTAGGGGTAGAATGGGGCCAATATAGGGAATCAAAGTTTAACATTGAAATATGTAGGAAAAATCTTTAAAAATCTTCTCAAGAACCACAAGACCAGAAAAAATGAAACTTAGGTGAAAGCTTCATGAGGTAGTGTAGATTGTAAATTATTTAAATCATGTCCCCTGGGAGTAGGGTGGGGTCACGATAGGGATTTTACAAGGGAAATCTTTAATAATCCTTTTCTCAAGAACAATTAAGGCATGATGAATCATATTAATGTGGAAGCATCCTCTGTTAGTGTAGATTCATTTTTGTTTTAATCATGGCCCCTATTTATAGAGTGGGGCACAAAAGGTGATCAAAATTTCACATAGGAATACATGTATATTGGGAAAAAATCTGATGCAGAACAGCAGGCCAAAGTAACTCAGGTGAGCACTGTGGCCCATGGACCTCTTGTTTATGTACTTTCAGTGCATATCAATAAGCATGAACACTGATACAAATTGAACCTGTTATTATAAATCCTAGCACTGCATGGTTCTCTGCCTTTAACTTCAGTCTTAGCCAATTTTAGTTCACTAGTCGACAGAGAGAGGGTGATAAGGCATAGTCCCAGTGTTACTGCTGAAACAGTAAAGTACTCATTGTTAGCTCATCTGAGCTGAAGGCTTAAAGAGCTTATGGACTGATCATGAATGTGGTTTGATCATGGAATGTGGACATAGACCAAGAATCCCTTGGCCAATTTTTATCAAATTTGTCACAGAGTACATGTATCCTTTATAAAGGGCTTTCCTTTCTTTTACTAAAATTAGGGATGTGCAAATTTGTCACGGAGTACATGTATCCTTTATGAAGGGCTTTCCTTTCCTTTACTAAAATTAGGGATGTGGCCCTTAAATAAGCTCATGTTGACAATATCTTTGTGAGAACCCTAGAAAATACATTGAAATAAAAATTATAATTTTAATACTAAAACAATTTACTGATAGATATTAAATTAAAAAGCATTTATTTCTACAGTATTGATATGATGACAATTAATTAATGTGCAACCATAGGGCTTAAGTTGTTCATGTTCAAGCTATATAATCTTCATTTATTTGTGAGATCAAGTCAGTTTAGACAAGTGGGTAAAAAAATTTGTAATGTTTACTATAGTCTAGGAGAAAAAGCAGTCACCATGTAGGATTAAACAACAATAGGTGTATTTTAAGGGGTGGGGTGGGGATGGGGGTAGAAGGTTACCCATGCCAATCAATATTTCTGCCCTACTTTGCTTTCCACACAAAAGCACAATAGATTGAACTGATTAAGAGCTTGGATTGGATTGCATTTGCAGGGGTCACAGGGTCAAAGAGCATGGCTTTTGATGTTAAAAATAAATATCTCATTTTTGTGCAATTAACAACTAGAATGTTTATACACTGTACCAGTATACATATTGGAAATATAAGATGAAAACCCGTATCTCATTTTGGACAGTTATTCAGATAAACATTCAAGTTTAAATTTATTAATTGCAAGATTTTGTATACAGTGAGGGCACCACCCTACAGATATATACCGGTACTCATGTACCCAGGTAGATGAAATGATTCTATTTGGTTTCTTACAGATTTGCTCAACCTGCTAAAGCTTTAATTCTAATGATTGAATTTTTTTTTGTTTATTCTTTAGATGTAATAACTCATGATTGCTTTAACATGTGGAAAACATCCGGGTTTTTAATACACTTTGAATATATTAACCAAGTATTTGAAGACAGCTGTTGTTTTGTCCTGGAGAAACCTAGGGCTTCATCTGATTGTCGGCAAGATGCGAAAATGTTTATTTCTCAGAAGGGAAATTTTTTTCATCTTGAAGTAAATTACCAGTACAGTCATTCAGTGTGTAATTTCCCTGCTGGGTCCGATCTAATGTTTTATTCACATGCTCTGCAAATGCACCGCAAATTATTGATATGCACCTAATAAGTTTATATGATCTCAGGAAGTATGGTCATTTATAAAGTGCTGGCATGTACAATTATTCAGTACGTTGTGCTTTTGTAATACAAAAAAAATTTAATAATAATAACGATAATAATAAAAAAAATTATGATACAGTACAGAAAATTGTTCAGTGCTGTTTTGCACTTCCAGATACTTTGCATTTAATCTTTTGCACTATAAACCAATCAAAAAAAAAATCAAAAAGATATAAATTGATAGTAATCATATACCCCAAACATGTTGGAAAAAATAAAGTGAATGTATTTTAGCGATTTTGATATGTACTCTTTTAAGTTGTCATACAGTCTGAACCAATAATTTTCAGGTGATAAATTTCATCAGAATTTTTGCATTGTTTTAATATGAAAAAAGTATATCAATAATGCAAGTAACTCCAGGCATTTTAAAGTTATCTTAAAAATAGTAAAATTTATGTGTGACAACCTGATTTACAAGACATAATTTTGATGAATGAGGACTGATATTGATGAGTATGGACCAGTTACATGCACTGCAGGAACAAGTACATGTATTGGTATGTTGTACTAAAAAGACTTAATGAGGTGGATTTTGCCAATAGATAATTGCCTGTAGTTTACAAAATGCATGTATATATATCTATAAATATTCGTTGTAAAAGATGTATCCAGATACCAGGATTATTTGAATAATTAAAGAACTATGAATAATATCACATTATTTTAATCCAAATGTACCAGGTATGTAATAAACACTAAAATTGTGAATTTGTTATAAACTAGTTCCTGGAAAATTAATTAACACATAGAGCAGAGGTGACTATTGGCAAATCTTTGTAATTTTCACCAATACATTGTATTAGGTAAAGTAGATGATTGGTCTTCAAATGCTGATGCTTGAAAATATATATTTTATCTAATCCTATGTTGTAGTAATATACTGTAAACCAACTTTTATTCACGTGCGAGAAATATTTGTGAGTTTCGGGACCCCTTTAACTCGCAAATATTAATCATCGCGAATTATTTATTTTGCTTTGTATTTGTATAGAATAATTTCTCAGTCGTGAAAATTAATCATTGCGAACTTATTTCATACTGACAAATCGCGAAACAAAAGATGACGCGAATAATAGTTGGTTTACAGTAATTTAATTACCCCCTTCTCTCTCTCTCTCTCAATCCAGATAAACGTACAATTTTGTACTTTTTCTATAGGCAAGACAATTAAGATTATAATAATGATTAACACTAAATGAAGTCCTCTTTCTTTGTAGAATGCCTTTGAGTTGCAGTTTGATGATCCAGGTTGGATGAAGTATATGTCATCCCTGAAGCCTTTGGTATGTTAATCGCTGGCATATGTTTATCAGAGATTCTTTGGGGTAACTAGCAAATAAATCAAACCCTTGACTGATAAACATCTTGTCAAATGTTGTTGTCAAGTAATCAAATGCATTATTATAGGAAGCAGTCTGTTTGTCTCTTAAAAAACATTTTCAATGTCACAATTATTATCACCTCTTATTGTTTAAATATGAAACATTTTTTATTTTAACTACTGGTATCAGAGCATTTTAGGCATATGGCGTGTAATTGTACTTCATAGAAGTATAATCTCCAGTTAAGATGGAATAAGCTGATTGCAGGAGAAACCTGGCTGAAAAGTTTATCATTTGTCACCTTCCAGGGTGTAGAAATGAGAATATATCATTACTGTTCAATAGGTCACATCATTTTACATAACAGTACATGAAAGGTTCAGACCACTGCAGGGAGTACTCTGGTTCTGTCAGAGTAGTCATTCAATGGAATCATCCAACTAAATAGGGGGTGACTGGAAAATGATGTATCCCTCAGATGAAATGGAATAGTCTTAAGTGGAATAGTCCAATATTAGACTTGTGGTAGATTAGTCTAATATTTTGTGAAAAAGTTTTTAAATTGGAATATTCCACCGTGCACTTTTCAGTGCATGTAATCTTGATGGAGTATTTTACGAGAAGAAATTATAAAAAGTATTTAATTCTTTGTTCTTGAGTTATGCAATTTAATTAAAACCATAGCAAGCTTTGCCGGCATATATTCTTATGTATTACTTGTAATTTTATTCACACAATTTATGGTTTGTTTTTTTTTTTTAAATAGGTAAATTAAACAAAATAACTTAAGTAATAGATGAACAATTTAACATTTTCTGTCTTACACCCCAAACCCAAAATGGTCTAGTTGCTTACTGAGTATAGATGAACAACAGAATCCCCCTTGCTCTTTTCCCTGAATTTTCAGTCCATCTGTTTAAAGCACCACTTCTCCTCAAAGCTACTGTAAAGGTGGAAATATTTGGGTGGGGGAAATTTTTGTGAATTTTGCAGTGAGTGAAGTTTTACAAAAGTTCTTACCACACAATCTATTTTGAAAAAAACAATGCTTAATAATTAAACAGCAAATTTTTTTTTGTATTCTTAACGTAAAACAGATATAGAGACATTATGCATGCTCTGTTATCATATGGCTTCCTGAAATGATACCTTAATTTAAACACTAGAATTTTTTGGGGGCTTTGTATTGTGTTTGTTCTTATTCAAATCATAATACCATTAAGTTGAAGATAAATCTCAAGGTCATTATTTCAGCCTTGAAGTTTGGAATCTTAAGAACTGTCTGGGCAAGTTTTTTTTTTCCTAAAGAGGTACTGTGTGATATAATCTGTAAACAATCATTGACATTTACACACCATTAAGCAACTGCAAGTCTAAATCAAAATATGAACAGACAATAAATGGGTCTAAAAAATTTACAGGTAATCAATTAAATGTAGGAAGTCATGGCACATTCAAATTCATATAGTAAGCTAAGTATTTTGAAGGAAAAAATAAAATATGACCATTTTGTTGTCAGTTTAGATATTTTTGTTATCAAACTATTTGTTAGCAATATATATTTTCACTTGGAATTCTCTAGTGCCTTGTATGCAGACAATGAACTTATTAAGCTTATAACCAGACGATTTGCTACATGTCCTATCGTTATAAAATGGCAATATATTCAGAAGCAATGGAACAAACTGGTCATACAAGTGCATTAGCTTATGAGTCTTTGTCCTCTCAATACGTACAGTACATGTACTATAAAGTTATACCTGGGTCAAAAGTTTAGACCACCCAGAATTAAAAATCTGCAATTTCTAAGGAGTACTGTAAATTTTCTTTAATGTAAAAATTAGCCCAGGGAAAAAAATATGTAATACTCTAGTATTATGGAATTTGTTCCTTATATATTTTTTAATTAAAAATAATATGTACTTGTAATTATATATTGTACTAAAAATAAGACCAAGATAGAAAAAAATATACAATACATATGTATTGTGGATTTGATTATTACTATTTTTTTTTTATTAATGTGACTGTTGGCTTGTTCTAAGATTGATAATTTTTCTAAGTAATGAAAAAAACCCAGAGCTAAATTAATGGATTCTTAGTGGAATCTGATCGTGAGAGAATTGATTTTGCAAAGTTTTCCAACTTCTGGATAGCATTAACTTAATTATACCAAGCCCACTAGAGTTACAGAAAATGACATTTGGCTCTTTGTATGTCACTAGGACTTCACCCAAATTGTCATTTAGTAGGACAATCCAGTGCAAATCAGTCGATTTAATTGTTTCCTTTGTCGGGCAAAGTCAGGAGTGCATTAGGAAAAGTTCATTAGTGGATAATGGATTCATCCATTTTGATCTACCCTGTTCTACCCTGAGAAAAATGGAATAGACAGGGAAGATGTACTTTAAAACTATGAGACCTGTACTGTTAAATCAGGCTGTACTTTTCCTAAAGTGCTCTCTTGTGGACATGCCACCGTTAGAGTACTCTTTTGTACTCTGCTCGTCATTTAAAAACAGGGTCATTCACTAGAGGATTGTGGGACTAAATGTTGACTGTAAGAGTCACTCAACAGTACATAGGACTGTCATTTTAAAAGCTATCTTTGCTTTGCGGTGACACTATTATTACATCACTTGACCCACACTGCCGAAAATATTATGCCTTTGTGGGTTAATAAATGCACAGGATATAAGTCACTGAAATTAGGATACCAAATTTAGCTGACTTGAATTTGTAAATTATGTAGGAATATGTGTATGAATATTTATATGTTTGTTAAGTCAATGCTCAGGGTGAAGCACTTTATTGTGTTGATAGCAATCTATTACAAAGATTTTATACTTGGTATTTTAAATATAAAAGTGTTGTTTTTTTTCTCTATCTTTCTCAAGTAAATTAATGAGAGCTGAGTCAATTACATTTGAAAGTAAGGGTTTTTTTTTTCTTTCAAGGAACTTCTAAAAATTTTAAAGCATTTTATTAATGTAAGGAATTTTTTGCTCTGTGTTAGTGTTAATAGGAAATAAACTTCTGGGAATTTTTTTTTTTTTGAGGTTTTTAAATTTATATATTTTTAACTTGTAAAACATAAAATTCACTTTAACTAAACATAAACATACATAAAAGTTAAAGAAGATAAACTATTTCTAAAGATACCAGTAATTAAATAATAAAAATGTCATGTTTGTTGGCATGATAATTAAAAGAAAGATTTATTGAAAAAAATATGTTGACAGAATATCATATCAATTTTTCCAACATTGTGTCAACAGATTATGGAGTCATTAATAATGATCATTATTGTTTCATTAATTTTTTTTATAGAATCAGTTCATGTATTTGACACAATAGCTCTCTGCAGAAAATTGTTAGAAGTTCTTTGAAAAAGCATATTATTCTGTAAATTCAAAAAAAAATTGTTTCAAACATTCAAGACAATAGGATTTCAAGAATTTCTGTCAAAGATGTTCCACTAGTATTTAGTTGCACAGTATGTTATCGAAATGTTTAAAGTACTATCTTGTTCACTTCAGCCAGGATTTGTCTTATATTGTGCAACAGATCCATATGGCATTGTTATGGCAAACTTCAGTTTGGATTGATTAATTGATCATATGACAGATACAGAATATCACACCTAAAGCATAGTTCGAGCATAAAGATTTTGAGACATTTTACTTAAAGTGTCTAATAGATCAGTTTAACATCAGTCCATATCTGTTTGTGTGGGCAGTGATGTTTTATTTTTTTTTTTCACACAATTGAGTGGGAAAAAAAAATGTTATCAAATATAGAATCTTTGTGATTCTATAATTGTATAAGCTAGTGTTTTAAACAAGGCAATTCCTGATGTCCAATCCTATTATGTAATTTGACTTTACGTAATAAAATGTTGATTAAATTAAATCTTTTGATACAATGATTGACTTAGAGGGAAAATGTCTGCAATAGAGGCATGTATTTTGAAGAACAGGAAATCCCCCCTATAGTATGACAACATTGAAAATATTAAATTTAAAATATCTGTAATGATAGTGCAAATATGGGCTATCTTCTAGTCAGGGGCAACTGCACTACTGAGTTGACCTTTATCAGGCAAAGTGTTCTGAAGAATAGTGGACAATATCTTCCTATATCCAAGTAGGTTGACCCTTGACCTTTGACATTGTGACCTCAAACTCAATAGGAGTCAACTGCTTTTTAAGGGGGTACCAATGTACCAAGTTTGATGTCTGTCAAGAAAATGGTTCACAAGATACTGAGCGGACAATATCTTCTTATATCCAGAGTAGTTTCACCCATGACCTTTGACCTTGTAACCTTAATATCAGTAGGGGTCATCTATTCCTTAGGGGGTACTAGTGTGTCTCAATCAAAGGGTTCTCAAGATCTTGATTGGACAACACTTGTTCTATCGACCGACAAACTAATTTGCTCCCTTTTTTCAAAGGGGGGCATAAAATGGCATTATCAAATGCTGTAAGTTTAGCCAAGAAATGGTCTGTTAGCCTGAGCGTAGCTAAATCTTAAGCTGTATTCTTTTCAGGGTCTAAATATTTTGGCCAACACTTGCAATGAGAAGACAATGGACTGGTACACTAAATTTACTGACCATGTGGCATCTGAGGCACTTGCCAATGAAGACACAGTGGCTGTGGTTAATAGAAGGTAGAATTTTTAAAATGTTTGAAGAAGATAGCAATTATCACAAGATAGTACATATTGTAATTATAAAATCTGGTCTTGTAAGATCAAGTGAATTTAATTCAGTTTATCTAGTTCATTTAAAATTTTGTTCACTTTCTCTTTGCAACCAACTACAGTCAAACCTTATTATCTCAAAAAGTTTGTTCATTTGTTAATCATTGCTAAAACATACAGTTGAACTTTGGTATCTCGAACACGGATATCTCGAATACCTTGGATATGTCGAAGTCATTTTGAAGTCCCAACTACTCATTCCTTAAGTATTTTACCCTGGATATCTCGAATCCTCGGTTATCTCGAAGTATTTTCTTGGTCCCTATGAGTTCGAGATAATGAGGTTTGACTGTATTAATCACAAAGTTTCCTTTAAAGCTATCCTAAATCTTGCATTCTCCCGAAAATCTTAATTGAAATTTAATGCAAAAAAATTGAAATCTTCCCCCAAAATGTCCTTATAGATATTCCGCTGATACTGAAGCATATAGCAAAGTGCCAGGGACAACAAATTTTATATGTGTTATGAACATAATTCATCACATCCAATAAGTTTGTATTATGCTTAAAAATAGAAATGGAAATTACGTCGCTCTAAGCATAAATTCATTATATGTGTGTTTGCTATAACCTTGTTTTACTGTATTTCCCATACTTATGATTGCTTTACATTGTTGTATGATAACATATAAGTGTATATATGTTCACAGAAAAAGTCCAGCTTCTGATATGTTTTTTTTCCCTTCTATTTATTATTGTATGTAGAGTAAGAAAGGATTTTAAGGAAAATTTCCTTATAAATAAAGCTGTATGAACCGTTTTACAAATGTATAACATATTGTTTGTTCTGAAGCATAGGCAAGCCAGTAGTATTTTTTTCTGCCTCAAAGTGAACCATTGTTAATAAGCACCACATTTTGAAAACAAAATTGATTTGCTCTGAGAAATAGCAATAAAATGTTTTGAGTTTGTTTGATGTTTTTATGGTTGCCAAAAAAAGAAATAAACCAGATTCTAATTTAAGCTCTAAGGCTTAAAACTAAAGCAAATGTTTTCTTTTAAATTAACAATTCATTGCCCCAAAACCATTATATGTACAGTTAACTTTCTTTTCTTGGAAAGTAAATGTACATTAAGGACATACGCAAGGTACCTTACCTACTGATAATTTTTCAAGATATTCTCAATAGATTATAGTACCATCAGATGTTCGTAGACAAAAAATCAGCATGCATTACCAGGGGTTTTGAAAAGATATCAATTGATGAAAATTCTTGTATAATTCAAAGAAAAATATACAAAAATTACTAAACATATATTCTAGATGTTTTGTTTATCCAAACTTGTTTTAGAAGAAGTGTACAACAACATATATGGACATAAAAATGTAGCACACAGTTCCTTTAAGTATTGGAACTCTTCAACTCCAGGGAAAAAGACAATAAAGTTCAAACTATGTTGCGTATGTCCTTAAGTAAAATTCCAGATGAAAGTAAATCCTCTCAGAATAAGAAAAAAAAATAGCTAAGTTACTGATTTTGATGGAAAAGATGTTCATTTTCTTTTGAATATTTATTAAGTTCCTAAATATTTGTAGGTGCCTGTGTGAGTTAGCCCGACAAATTGGTTTCACTGAGAAAGCATTGGATGGATTTTTGTTGGACAGAATTCTTGGCCTGTATAGGCAGGTGGTAAGGAACTTTTAATCATGTTAAATCTCTGTTACTTTCTGGGGAAAAAATTCTTAATTTGCTCACCAAAAAAAAATCTTAATTGTGGGGGGGGGGGGGGGGGGGGTAATAACTTATTTTTTTTGGTGTCACCTGAGGAAGGAGCTCTTACGTATTGCTTTATCATAAGTAATCTTCTGAAAAATTAGACTACTTATTTTCCAGTACAAGAATGACAATAAATTTGGAAAAAAGCTCCCCAGGTAAAAGGGATTCAATTGTCCGAATAAATGGACTTGTCCCTGGAAGTAAAATTACTACATGTAATTATTTAACAGGAATTTTTTTGTATTTTTGCTTACACTGAATAAATAGACTATGTTAATATTTAATATCAATCTTTCACATTTGTAGTATTGTATTTGTTGAAGAATTACACATATATGCTTCTGTGGTTAATTTTCAATGTGATAAATATTTTGCAGTCATCAGAGGAATCGGCCAAAGCTAAAGTACACCGAGCTAAGTCTTTTGTACATCATCAGATTCCTATGCCAAACATGTTCTCCGTGGTGATGAAGGAAAAGATGTCAGGTTAGGCATAATGGTTAAACACAGATCAGTTTGAAATGTTAGAAATTACAGTAAAACTTGTCACATCCAGACGTTGTGTATTTAGAAATCTTGCCTAATACGATGGAAACTTTTAGTTCCTCTCAGTTAGTTCAATTGTTTAAAATACTGCCTAATCCAGAATGTTGTCTAATCCAGCCAATTTCTTTGCAACTGGTTGTGTCCCAATAAGACAAGTTTTACTGTGTATAGGCACCCCCCCCCCCCCCCTTCATCTGAAAGGAAATCTGTTAATCTATTCTGTGAACTTAACAAGGCTTTCATGTTTGATAGTCCTAAAGAGCCCTTTCTGAGTGTTATTTTGAAAATATTTTTTGATGTTATGAAGACTTAAATTCACTGCCTTTCATTGTCATTGATCTTTTAATGTAAAACATGGTGTAAACCTTTCTATTTCTGACCAAGAGGAAGAGATATAAACTTCAGGAATCATGAGAATGCCAGGGAGTTGAGCTGATGTTCAAGATCATTTTATTTCGCTAAATATAAATTTGAGTGTCTGTTGGGAAAAAAAATGACAGCACTAGGAAATAGGTGGTAGTAGCCAAAATTTGTCTCTTATCTAACATGGAAGGGAGTCGATGCCTTGTATTCATGTTTGTGGTAAAGTAGATAAAAATGAGGAAAAATTAATGTACGTCAAATAGATGTAGTCTTTTCAGCCTATTTCCAGAAATCGCAGAGATGGTTTGTTAAAAAAAAAAAAAAAACAGACACAAAAAAATGAAGGGTGCATATATTTTCATTTTTTCTCTTTTCTTATGTCATTGAAGAAACTGACATATCATAGTTAAAATAAATGTTTATGAGCATTAGAAGTTGTTTTTTTTCTGACATTTCCTTTATCCACATTTTTTTTACAGGATCCAGTCAGATTTTTTCCCAGGGAACTGGGGATATCCTGATGGACTGCTGTAGTGACTATTGGAATGGGGAAGATGTCTGTCCTCTAACTGAAAATGACAGGTACTGTAAAATCACCTATTTACGTGGTTTTAGGAAAAAATATTTTATTGGTTTGTGGGGCTTTGAATTCATGGTCGAAGAAATGTTGTGAAATTTTACATTTTGAGGAGAACTAGCTGCAGATCTGTACCTCGCTGGTCTGAAAAAATTGGGACGAATGACCAGAGAGCTACAGTGCCACCCATTAAAAAAAGTGTATATTTATTGTTCACAAAAAAGTGCACCGTTCTTTGGTTTATTTCACCATATATTTCCAAATATTACTAACCGTGTGTTCCTAACATGTTCTATTACTACTTTCATAACAAAACTGCCTGTACAAGTCATGCACGAAGCACTTTGGACCGAATTGTCTTGCCATCCAAAATGGCAGTATAAATAGGCAAAAAATTTTATGGTCTCAATTTCAGGCCCAGGAGGGCTATAAACAATGGTTTGGGGAAATGTCTTGTTGTGGAAGTAGTAAAAGAATATGCTAGAAACACACGGTTAGTAAAAATTTGAGATGACAGCATTAATAATCGGAGAAATAAATCGAGAAACAGCACACTTTTTTGTGCGCAATAAATATACACTTTTTTCAGTGGGTGGCACTGTAGCTCTCTGGTTGTCCATCCCAATTTTTTCAGACAAGTGAGCTACAGATCTGCCGCTAGAGGCGACATGATTTTATTGTTCTCTTCATACCATGAAAACAACGAAAATTATGCCTCCTCAAAAATTACTGATTTTACAGAAGTTAAGAAATTTACACAGTGCATGGTTTCATGATGTTAATTTTGTGGAGAAACAAAGCAAAAAGTAGTATATTGCCTCTGGAAGTTGAAACTTACAAAATATTATTTTACAGGAAGAAGATGTTGGATTTCTATCACAGATCCAGCATGGCTGCCTATTGTACAGCATTTAGTTATCGACCTTTGACCCAGTACATATCACCGCAACTCTGTGAGAACTTCATACAGCTACCTCAGTATTGGTCCAGCATGCTGGAGCGAACCTCTGTCTCAGTGTAAAGCTTCTCTTTGACTTTGATCAGCTTGCGTTACTATGAACAAGTTTATAATAAGTATATCAATATGGATTGGAGATATTTTTAGTTTTTTTTTTAATGTGAAAGACTAGTTGATTTTTCATTTTTTTCAAAAAAATTAAATGCAAAGAGCTGAGAGTAATGGAGTTTTGTATAATTGTTAAAAAAAATTCCATTTTAAAAAATTCAGGTTTGGAAAGAAAATAACTTTTGAATATATTTTTTACTAGACTAGAAAATTCTAACAATCTTTGGTTTTACAGGAGCTCAGATGCTGATATCCAATTTGATTCTCAGTTATGGAAGGATTCCCGGGCCTTCAGTATGGACTCTCTGTTTGACAACACCAGTACCTCCTCAGTAGAAGACACCATTGGTTGTTGTCAGGCCCAGAGTAATCAAGTGTTTATTGGGATGGTCACAATGCAATATCAGGCTAGGCAGGTGGGTAGTGTAGTTAATAATTGGAGCAAGAAGCATTTCTTTTTTAAATGGCTTTCTTGTATTTAGCTAAAGGTTCTGCTTCTTTTGCACAGATATTATTTTGACACAAAATATCCTACCTGAAAAACCTGAACTGCATCAATCATTATTAATTTGGTTTGAATTATTCTTGCAGGATTTTGTTCAGCTCATTGACAAATTAGAAATTGCCTGCATCAGATTTGTTCATTTTTCACAAGAAAATGAAGTTAGAAGCAGAGTAAGTAAGAGTTTTCTCCCTTTTGAGTCATGTTTATCATCTTTATTTGATTGGTTTTCTCAAACAATTTACTTCAATTTTTCAGGTATTTTCAGAAAAGATGGGATTGGAGGCAGGCTGGAACTGCCACATTTCCCTGAGGTCAGATTTGGGGATGGGAACAGCCCCTACCAGTGCTTCAGTCTCGCAGGTCGAACTTAGCAACCGGTATTCCAGTCGTCACTCTTCTGACACTGCCGCCAAGGAAACCAATGCCTGTGCCAGACTTTTTCAGTCACAGGAATCCATTAGATCTCGAAGCTACAGTGCACCGAGTATTGTCAATCTCGACTCCTCTCAAGTCCGATTTCAAATGTCTGACAATGGTAATAATAAGCAACGACAGCGTTTTCTAAGTGAACATCAATGTGAGCCTATAGTTCCTACAGACACTCAGAACCAGGGGAGTCCAGAGATTTTTGAAAGTGAAACCACTCCACTGAATTATGAAGGAGAAGGAGAGGAGATTATTTTAAAGTCCTATGAGTGGACCAATCAGACTTCAGATAACATGGGGAGTGGGAGTAGAAATGCTTCTAGTTACCTGACTGATGACAGCTTAACTGGTGCACTTGATAATAGGGTAAATATTTTCTATTGCAGTTTTCTGTTTTATTATGGATTTCAAGTACCAAAGCTACCGGTACTAGGTAATCTTATCTATAATTTTGTTTCATGGCATACTTCATCCTGTTTTATTGTAGGCTAGACTACCAAGAGGAATAGAGAATATTCGACCACACCTGGAGAATGTAGACAATGTACCTCTGTTAGTGAATCTCTTCACAGACTGTACCGCTGAAAGTAAGTAAATGCATCATTGTAAATCATATACCAACCGTGACTTACTGCTGTCAGTCTCATACTGAGGATACAATTTTTATTCTTCATTTTTCGTTGCAAATGTTTCCAATAGATTTCTATATAAGAGAATTTTTTTCTCTTAATGAAACACATGAAAAAATTAGTAACTTTGATTTTTTAAATCATTTTTATAAAATTTTAAATATTTTTATATACCTTTTACATGTAAAGAAGGGTGTCCACATTGCTTCATTTTACTCAGGCACTGCAGTACTTTGTGAAAATTTGACTTCATTATAATAAGGAACTCACTGTATCTAGATTCAATTTAACTTGGTTGTACTGTTCTGTAAATTTTGCAGCCACTCGTGAGATGATGGAGATCATGCAGGAACACGGAGAGGTGGTGGTGTGTACTGGGAGTAATCTCAACATTGAAAATGTCGATCTCTTTCTACAGGGGGACTGCAGGTCAGAATTCGTCTGTACAATTTAGGGGCACATATTCTAATGCATTTCTAAGATTAATTCATGAAAAGGCATGAAGAAGAAATTAATTATTACACATGAATAACACATTTTTAGCAATGCATTTTGTCAAACTGCTGTAAACCAACTTTTGGAAATATTCATGAGTTTTGCAACCTACTTTTTTCTCTCTTCTTGAACCAATTATTTAATTGTGTTTTTATTAGAGTGTTTCATCAGATTCAAGAATAAACATTTGGGGATGAATTGTAAATTCACAATTAGCAAATAAAATTGCTTTATAATTATACATGTATGTTGAATTCAAACATTAGTTTTAAAATGGAATAGAAGCAAAGAAAGATTTTAATATTTTGAATATTTAATTTTGAATATTGAAATTTGAATGTGTTATACAAAATATTTTCTTTGTCCAGTTTGGCAGTAGAACCCTTGTACCCAGTGGTGTGTGCCAAGAATGCCTCCATGATGAACCAAAGTGGGGATAACTCCCTAACCCCCATGGCTATAGCTGCCTCCCTCATCAGCCTTCCTTGCCCCCTCATTTACAAGTACAGAGACAATGTTGGAGTTATCCAGCTCATTACAGAAGTAGGGAATTTCTCTTTGTGGTTTTTAATCATTTTCCATGAGCTTTATCCTTTTGAAAATGTACTAATGAGCAAATGTTTAACACTTTTGCAACTATACATTTTTAGGTCACCTGAGTAAACTCAGGTGACCTATTGCTATCCGTTTTCGTCCGTCGTTGTACGTCGTTCGTCGGTCGTAAACTTTTGAACATTTTTAGCTTCTTCTCTGAAACCGCTGAACCAATTTCAACCAAATTTGGCATATAGTATCTATGGGTGAAGGGGAACAAAAATTGTGAATTTCATGGTCCCTGCCCCCCTGGGGCCTGAGGGGTGGGGCTAAAACCACCAAAATTAATGCAATCTTTTAAAATCTTCTTCTTTACTCCTGGACATCAAGCAGTCAAACTGTTGGCATCATTGTAATGAGCATTGAGTCCTCTACCAAAATTGTGAAATTCATGGCCCCAGGGTCAGGGGTTCTGGTGCTAGGGCGGGGCTATATAGATCATATAGTGAAAGTGCATTATTTCTTTGAAAATCTTCTTCTCTGCTCCTGGGTATTAGATAAACTAACTAAGTATATAGTTATGATGAGTAAGAGTGCCTCTTCCAAAATTGTGAAATTCATGGCCCCAGGGTCTGGGATTCTGGTGTTAGGGTGGGGCTCTATTCATTATTTAGTGAAAATGCATTAATTCTTTGAAAATCTTCTTCTCTGCTCCTGGGTATTAAATAAACTAACTAAGTATATAGTTATGATGAGTAAGAGTGCCTCTTTTAAAATTGTGAAATTCATGGCCCCAGGGGCAGGGGTTCTGGTGTAAGGGCGGGGCTCTATTGATTATATAGTGAAAATGCATTAATTCATTGAAAATCTTCTTCTCTGCTACTGGGTATTAAATTCAGTAACTAAGTACATAGTTAGGATGAACAAGAGTGCCTCTTCCAAAATTGTAAATTTCATGGCCCCTGGATCAGGGGTTCTGGTGTTAGGGCGGGGCTCTATTGATTATATAGTGAAAATGCATTGATTCTTTGAAAATCTTCTTGAAGACTTCTCTGCTACTGGAGACTATTTAAACAAACTAAGTGTATGGTTATGATGCATAAGGATGCCTTTTCCAAAATTGTGAATTTCATGGCCCCAGGGTCAGGGGCTCTGGTGTTAGGGCGGGGCTCTATTGATTATATAGTGAAAATGCATTGATTCTTTGAAAATCTTCTTCTCTGCTACTGGAGATTATTTAAACAAACTAAGTGCATGATTATGATAGAAAAGGATGCCTCTTCCAAAATTTTTAAATATATCGCCTCAGTTTTCGGGGTTCTTGAGAGGGGGGGGGGGGGGGCTCTATTGATTATATAGTGAAAAAGCATTAATTCTATTAATTAATCATTAATTAATCCTGTCGGCTCCTTAGTGTTGAGCTGATAAATAAATTGCTTAGCTATGATGAAAATGGGAGCTTCGAACAGAATTTTTAAATCTTGTGGTCCTAGGGTCAGGGGTTCTGGCATAACGAGGGGGGGGGGGGGGGCTTTTGATAATACAGTGGAAAAGTGTTCATTCTTTGAAGTCCATAGTAATGATGATGAGGGTAAATCTTCCAAATTTGTAAATTTCTTGACCCTTGGTCTTGGGTTCTGGTGTTAGGGTAAGGCTTTGTTGAGTCTGTAGTGAAAATGCATTGTACCTGTGAAATTTTTCTCTGCTTCTGGGCATATCGGAAGCAAACTGAGTAAAAGTTTAAATGATATGAGTAAGCATATTTCTACCAGATTTTTAAACATATGGACCATTCGTCTAAGCATTCTGATCCTGGGCAGGGCTCTATTAATTTGTATTCTACTGAGAGAAGTTATTCCCCTTTTCCATTCACCTTTGATAATTAATCACTGTAAATAATGTATTTGAAAGGTTAATAGAATAAGATAATTATGCAAAAATGTTTATCGTATAATTAAAAAAGTACTTCCTTAGTTTAAATAATCAGGTAGACCTGTAAGTAATAGATAAATAAAAATGAGACAAAAATAACTTATCTTATTAAAAGTTCTTCAAAGACCATAAGAGAGGTCAATGCTAGAGATCTTAATATGGGTTTAAAAATAGTACAGAAGCACTAATAGTTTGTTAATAGTCTGCATGGTGATAATGTTAAGTGGGGGACAGATTAGAACTCAATTTCTGAGTTGATAGTGAATACTAGACTAATTATTTTGTTGATCCTGATCTTCCTACTTCTCTTGTTTTTGTTCCTCTGCTCTGCCTCTGGGTATTAAGTAATCAAAGTAAGCATGCTATATGTATAGTTATGATGAGCAATAGTGCCTCTTTCAAAATTGTGAATTACATGGCCTCTGGTGCAAAATACAAACCAAATTCAATTGTTGGAAAGTTGTTACGCGATACTCAGGTGACCTATAAGGCCCGTGGGCCTCTTGTTTTGAAAATGAAGAACTTTTGAATTATCAAAAATCCAAATGAAAGGTTGATTTTTTTCTTTTAAATTTATAATAAATTCAATGAAAATATTGCATCAACTGCAAACAATCCTTAAAAAGCACTTGATAACCTATTTACCAATATTGTAATTTTTTTTCAGGCTCGGACATTTTTGTTGTCTCTGAAGAACACCTTTTACCTGATGTTGTGTTACCACCTGTCTGTAACCCTGATACAGGTCTTTGCCTCCCTCCTCCTCCTACCCCCAGTCCTGGCCCCACAGCACCTGCTGTGGCTTCTCATTTTCATCATCCCCCTCCTTAGTCTTAGTATGATGGGGAATGCAGTAGATTTCAGAATAATGAACAATGCCACTGTCAAATATCCAAAGACTATAACTAAAGAGGTAATTTATTTTCTTTATATCCTTAGTAATATTTTGATAAAGATGCCTTTTATTACCGGTACTATTCTTAAAAGAAACCTAGTGACTCCTAATGGATTAATGATTTATTTTTCTTTGCGATGAAAACTTAGATACCTTAGTTTTTCTGCACAATCTCCTTGGACCTTTCCGGCAAGCTGGGACTATGTATTTTAAATTTTTTGAAGACTGTATTTTTTTGTATTTTTTAACCTTATAATTCTTTCTGAGTTTCTTTTGATGGCATTTTTAAAAAAAAAAAATTAAAAAATTAAAATATTATGGCATAATTATACATGTAAAATGTATTTAGTAATGTTACATGTGTAATGATGTGACATATGCTAAGCACTATTTTTTGTTCTTATTTCCAGATGATACTCCAGTTTCTCTGTTATTACTGTTTGAGATTCCTACCAGCCATTATTGTGTGCTTGTTTTGCTACACATTTACCCTCCATTCATTCTGTGAGAGTGTTCCACCCAACTTTCCATATTCTTGTGCAATATTTAGTTTTAGGTGAGTTGATAAATACTTTCTTTTGGAGATTTGTACATGGTAGCATTTTAAGGGGAATAATTCTTGTCAAGATACTGTATACAGGGAAATTTTTGCCTCAGTTTTATTTTCGCCCTGCTCACAGGAGGGCAAATTTAAAACTTGGTGAATTCAAAGAACATAGAATAATTTCTTAAACTGAATTGTGACTGGGCGGACTAAAAACGGGGCAAAATTGTTTGCAAGTATGAAAGGGCGAAAATAGCATGGGACAAAATAACCCTGTATACAGTAGACTACTATATTTCATTTTTCCCATTTGTTACAGCATTACAGATATTTTTGTAAATCAATTAACCTGATTAATTTAATTTGATGTGAGTGATTTGGTTTTATTTTCAGCCCCCAGAATGGTACTATAACTTGGTATGAGAAGTACTCAGGAGGTCTTATAGTGGCTCAAAATATACTCCTCTTCCTATTGGTTTTATTCTTTGGTAAGTAATAGACATACAGTTTTGTACTTGACACTCAGTATGTTAAATTTAATTTTTATTGTTTCTTGTAATAAATCTATAATAATTTGGACAACCCATGAATAGAGTGTTTATTCATCAGCAGTGAGATGTATATGTAAGTTAAAAACTACATGTACAGTACCTGAGAGCTAAGTTAAATAGCTAAAACTTGAATTTTGATTTTTACAGCTACAATATCAGTGAGCTTTGTTCATTGGTCTGACCAACTCTGGCAGCAGTGTCCTACAAGTAACAAAATGTGGAGTGTGGCCGTCCTTACTGTGTAAGTATGAAAACAAAACAAAAAAAAAAGAAACAATTAGCCATTCCCTTTGAATAAAACAATTATTATAGGCATCAAAGTTGAGTTTTGACAAGTTTACATTCACACCATGATCAGGTAATTAGTATAATGTAGTAAAAATAAAATTGATATTTGGTGCTTGTAAATTCTGTGTTGGGAAAGTCTTCTTTTTTTTTTAAATTGTCATGATATTCATGATATTGTTTTCAGGTTGTTGCTGCAGTGTGTATTCTTTGCCTGTGATATTGTCATCAGAAGTAATGGTGTGCCCTTCACTCTGTCCCTAGGGGATGTACATCCAGCGGTGTATGGGACAGGTCTCCCCTTCCCCCTAATTATTATTGTGATTAATGAACTAGTAAAGAGGAGGGAAGTCAAGTAAGTTTGTCTTGTCTAAAATTGTAATTTTAAGGCTTTTTGACATGATTACAGTGTATTATCTTAATGCCCCCAAAATTGATTGCATCCCAGAAATAGATTGACAGTATACAGTAAAACATGCTTATTACCAAATGCCAGGGATGGATGATTTTGCTTTGTTATAAACATAATTGTTTTATCTGGTAAGTTCACAATATTTAAATATTGCATGTAGTTGAGTGTAACATTGAAAATTTTCACCCCAAGAAAACCATTGTCAACCGAGGCGCAGCCAAGGTTGACAATGGTTTTTGAGGAGTGAAAATTTTCAATGTTACACTCAACTACACGCAATATTTATTATATTATACTGAATGTTTTATACAAATACACATAACAGTGAACCTTGTGCGCATAAATTCTGCGCAGTCACTATTTTTTGGAATATCGTCAAGCAATGTTGACTGTTGCTACGCTGGAGGGCGTGGCTTCATCATTCAGCTGGTAATAGTACTTTTTAACACATGTTTCTTGACAAATCAGATTCAACTAATTTACATTAAAGTATAATGTTATATTTTAAAGAAACAGGGAATGAAAATCACTTTGCTACAAGCATCATATTCAATAAAGCATGTTTTACTGTATTTTTAACACATTGTTTCTAATCATTTATGTGTTCTATTAATGTGTTTTACAATTAAGTTAATGATTTCAATAATGGCTCAGTCTTAAATGACTGTATTTGTAAATGATCATCCCATGTAGATTATATAATTCCTCCAATTGTAGATTATACTCAAGATACCAGAAGAGAAGAAGACTAAGTTTTGGAACAAAATTAGGAATGAACTCTCCATTTTAATGAGTGAAGACTTTTTTATTGATATTGTGAACAGTTTTGGTGCAATGATTGCTTTGTAATGTGGATTAATGGTTCAGTGTATGAATGTTGTAAATGTGCTTAGAATTTATTATAAAGTTTGGCACTAACCAAAGAGTTGTATCCTTGACAGATATATTTTTTTAATGTTTTCAAATGCCAAATTAATTTGTTTGAGAAAAAAAAAATATTGAGCTTGTTATACAATTTATTCTAAAAATATGTCCTTGTTGGCTCTATATATTTTTATTATGGAGGACTTTTAAGTAGCTTGATTTAATAACTTGTCCATGTGAATGTTCTGTAAGCTTGACAATTTGTTTCCAAGACTGAAAGCTGAACAATCAGAAATGATAACTCTATTGAACAATCTTAAATTAATTCAAAAATAAACTAATAAAATATTTTTCTTGGGTTTTCTTTCCCCTGACAATTAACTGCATGTTTTTATACCCCCACCCCTTAAACTTAAATGAATTACCTTGTCCATCCGTCTATGCAATCTTGTGCAGGCTATAACATTGTACAAGTAAGAGACATGACACAAAGATTGATTATGACCTGAAGATGTTTCCTGACCTTGGATCCAAGGTCATTTGGGCAAGTTCAAGGTCACTGGCAGAAAAAAATGTTGTGTGGTGATCTTAACTCAGGTCATTTTGGCAAGTTCAAGATCATTGGAAAAAAGTATGTAATTTGTGTCTGGTCTATAACTCTCTAATGGAAAATACTTTATACAAAGATTACTCATGAGGATGAGGTGCATCATTACTTTTTGTCCTAGGGCAAATTCAAGGGCATTGGCAGAAAAAGTGTGAAATTCATGTTTGTTTTAATGAGAAACATTGGAAGATGAAACTTCACACAAAGAGTACTTATGACCAGAAGGTGTGTCATGTCACGACCTTGAACCAAAGTCATTTTGGAGAGCATTTCAAGGTCACTTGTAGAAAAAACAAAATATATTTCCTGTCCTAGCCATATCTTGTAACGGAAAACAACGGAAGATGGAGAAATGACTGCTTATATGACCTGAGGTCATGACCTTGACCAAATTCAAATTTACAGGAAGAAAAGGTGAATAATCCAGATCTGATCTATAACTCTGTAGGACGTAGCACTTAAAAAAAGGCAGCTGAAAGGTATACTTTCACTCAATCTCTCTGAGTATTCAATCCAACTGTACATCAAAATGCTACATTTTAATTTTCTTTTCATTCAAAAACTGTGTGAGAATCAATACTTGTAGTCAACAGAAAGACATTTTTTTTTCATTTATGAATTCATATTAAATGATGCTGCAATTGCATTTAAAATAGAATGAACTGCAAAATTGTTTGAAAATGATACTTGTACATTTTTCAACCAGTCGTCTAATATTTAAAAGATTTGATAATAGCTGCATATCCCATACTCCATACAAAACCATATATCATCATGAATAACAAATATTCAATCAGTCTCATCGTTTGACATTTAGACAATAAAGTCAACTTTTTTTATTTAAACTGGGATTTATAATTACATGTACATATATAATGAGAAAGCTTTGTACCTTTCTCAGTGAAAAATTTATTTCATATTACTATTTCTTTCCATGAGAATCATTTTCATATACTGATATGCTCCATATCGATTCTTGAAAGGTCATTTGCAACAATTTTCAATCTGTCTTTCTGTTGGCCTCTGACCTGGTCAGCTGCACCATGAAGGTCAACAATAAACTGCATTTTCCTCATGCTGATTTGGTCATCTGTGGTCGTTTCATCCAAATGATAACACTCTCTACAGTAAGGAATACGAACAGTAGTCACTTCTGGGAGAGAAGCAAAAACCTGAAGGAAGTTTTTCAAAGTAATAGCACCAAAATTATTCTCAGCAATATTCATGTACAACAATTTTTTCAGATTCAATAAATAATGAGTGAGCATCAACCAAACTTCATCGTTAAGTTTTGTGTCCTCTGCTTCAAATACACACAAACTAGAACCAGCAGAAGAAAAAAGCTGTCCTAAACTCCGAGCACAACCTGATAAAGTGTTCTCGCTGATATCCAGCTCCTGAAGTCCCGAGGCATGATGGGAATGGGCCAGATATGTCAAGTCTAAATTTGTTAAGCCACACCCACTTAATCTTAGGTACCTTAGTGATTGGTTCATATTTTGAAGTATATGTCGAAGTCTGTTTTTGATTCGGTTATTACTTAGGTCTATTCTAGTCAGCTGTGGAAGTGATGCCAAGGTTTCCGACATTCTTTCACATACTGTATCATTTTGATAAAGGTGGATGGTGTTGCATGAGAGATCCAAAGCTGTTAGATTTTGAAATGTTCTTAATTCTGGTTCCATTTTCACAAATTCATCACAAGTCAGGGAGTTGTACTTGAGTCTGATACCTTTCAAAGTCTGAAATAAATTTCAGTTTATAAATGAGAGGGAAAATGTATGTGCTGTTAGATTCATAACTTTTGAGTTTGTCCTAAACATATTAAAATGTATATGTAATTCTGTACAAACCCTTTTATCTATTTGTTTCAGCAGTATTGTAATTTTTGGTTCCCCGAGACAGGTGGCATCTAATTTCTCTATGCATAATCTCAGTTTACTTTCTGGGAAGCCAGACACTTTTAAAGCTTTACACAATTCAGCATGGGTCTGATCAGAGGTAACAAAAGCATCAAGTTTGATTACCACTGAAAAGAAATGGAGAGTAAATGCATTATTCAAAATCAAAAGAAAACAAAAGTTGCATTAAAAAAACTGCAATGAGACATTAATAACAAGAGCAACATTGTTATTCACATTGAAAACGTAACAATCTAAATTAAAATTAGATCCTTTACGCTCCTGTATTTTGTTATGTCGCTGTAAGGATCCTTGGCGACATAACAAAATACAGGAGCATAAAGGATCTAATTTTAATTAGATTGAAACATAAAATTATTCAATCATATAATTAATATAATTTTTAAATTTATATGAGAATCTGTGGGTATTGGATCATCCAGTTTTTATTTTTCGATAGAATTTTAAACAAGAGGCCCATGGATCCCCACGCTCACCAGTCACTTTGGCCCTGCTGTTCTTTAGAACAATAGTCCACCTTACTCCTGGGGGTCATGATTTGAACAATCTTGATTCTCAATCACCTAAGTGCTTGTATTTTAATATGACTAATCTTGATCATGCTGTCCTTTACAAGAAGATTTTTTAAAAGATTTTTTTTCATTGATTTTCTATTGTGGCCACCTTCCCAGGGGTTAAAAACTTGAATCTACACAACCTGACAATGTTTTCATATTAATATCACTAATCACTGTCCTTTGTTCATGAGAGGAAGATTGTTTAAGATTTTTCCATTTATATTCCCAGGATAAACTTTGATTCCAATTACTGTGCAACCCTACCCCCTGGGCCACAATTTGAACAAACTTAAGTCTACATAACTTGAGAATCCTTGAGTGGTTTTATGACTAATCAAAGCCTTGTGTTCTTTATTTGAAGATATCTAAAGATCTTTTCCTATACATTCCAAAATAAAACTTTGATACCCTAATGTGGACCCTCCATACCTCTGGGGTCACATTTTGATCAAACTAGAATATGCACTACCTTAGGATGCTTTCATATCAATACAAATATTGCTAATCATGATCCTTCTTGAGAAGAAGATTTTTTTGGTAAAAAAACATTTTTCCCTCATATTCCCATTAAAAAATTAGATCTCCTTTAGGGGCCCCATCCAACCCTTGAACCATGATTTGAACAAACTAGAATCTGCAATACCTAGGAATGCTTGCATAATAATATCACTAATCATGGTCCTGTTGTTCTTGAGAAGATTTATAAACATTTTCCCCCATTTATTTCCATGTAAAACTTTGATACCCTAATGTGGCCCTACCCTACTCCCAGGGGCCATGATTTGAACAAACTTGAATTTGCACTATGTGGGGAAGCTTGCATATTTTAAAATACATTGTATCACTAATCATGGTCCTGCTATTCTTGACAAAAATTTTAAAGAAATTTCCCATAAATGCCCATGTTAAACTTTGATCCCCTACTGTGATCCCATCCTACCCCCTGGGCCATGATTTGGGCAAATTTGAATTTACACATGTCAGGAAGCTTTCACATAAATTTTATCTTTTTTGGTCCTGTGGTTCTTGAGAAGATTTTTTATGTCACTTGTCCTATTTTATCCTTTTCTTGATTATCTCCCCTTTCCAGAAGTTGTGGTCTCTATCTAAATAAACTTGAACCCCTTCATCTAAGGATACTCTGTGCAAAGTTTAGCTGAAATTGGCCCAGTGGTTCTAGAGAAGAGGATTAAATTGTGAAAAGTTAATGACAACGACAACACACAAATTTCGATCAGATAAGCTCACTTGTTCAGATGAGCTAAAAATGAATTTCAAAAAAATTGTACATAAAACTTAACTTACAAACAGACTCTGGCAGAGAATTATCTGCATGCATGGAAGTCCTGCTAGTTGGGAGGTACTTTATGGCTGTGTTGTACATATTCACCATTGCTGTCTGACGAGCCTCATTGTGTGCTAACATGCAGTGTGTGGCAAGGTAGTACAGAATGACTTCAGCTAAACAAAAATACCTGAATGAATTCCAGCAAGAAGTCTGCAGAAATACAAACAACTAATGTTCTAATCAATTATCAAACAAATTTCCCAATGTCAAAATATATACAGTAAAACTCCGCTATAGTGAAGTTCTGGAGACCTGGGAATTTACTTCCTTATATCTGTAATTCGTTACATCCGTATAAAGAATTGCTTAAAGCATACATAGCGAATTCGTAATATGGATTTTTCATTCAACTATGACTACTAAATGTATTGAGGGAAGTATAAATAATACATTTACCCTGGAGTTCAAAAATTTTCAGATGAATTGAGTTTCAAATACAAATGCTTACGAAACAAATGCCAGTTCTATATTTATTTATTTTCTTTGAAAAATTGTTGTAAAAGATATAAATTTTGTTATTTTAAACTTCCTGGAGACACAAAATCAGTTTGCTATAACCGTAATTTTGCTTTATTGGAGTTCGTTAAATCCATAAATTTTACAAGGAGTTGTTAAGATTTTCACCAGAGATTGCAAAAAAAATCACTATATCCATAAATTCACTCTAAATGAATCTTACTGCATACAGTTTTAATCTTTTTTCAAATGCATATAGATATAAAAAGTGATAAATAATTATTTTGTAATTCTGTATAAAGTCTTTGTAAGAGAGTTTATTTCATATAAATATAATTCCTTCTATTACTATAAATGTACTTAAATTTACAGGTAATCATATTCAGCATCTTTTGTGCTTCTTGCCTGCTAATTCAAACATGTATATATACATGCTAATATATGGCTTAAACAAACACATATAGAACCTTTGCTGAAAACAAACTACTAGTACTTAGTAAGCTGATCAGTTGATGAGAAAGATTGAGTTACATCTTGAGTGTGCTAATTTATATACATTTACAATATTTTACCAGTTGGATATCCAGACATGTCCAGAAAGCGTAACTCAGTTGGCATTTTCTTTTTGACACATTCAAGAAAGGTGTGAGCCAAGCATGTTGTATATCGTAGTCCTTGTCTCACGATGTCTGACAGGTAGTATGTGTCATGTAGAGGTTGCAGTGAAGTAAAAATATTTGGAGTTAGGTCCCTTAATACCAAAGATTCCATGTGCCAACTGGATATCAACACTTCTATGGCTCTGTCTTTGTTCTCCTAAATTGTGTTGAAAAAATATTGTATAAATAGTGTTAAATCCAGACCCTAAAAAGGGCATGGTAATCCAATAATCAAAAGGGCACTTTACGCCGCGACAAGTTTTCATGAGGGCACTTTTTAACGTCTTTGAAATTATAAATATTTTCTTTGTCATGTTTATGTACTTAAATTATTATTCAATACTGAAATCTTTAGTTATACAAGTATCTAAAAGAAAAATTTATAAATCTGTCAGCTTAATTCATTTAATACACACTGAGAGGGCAATTATTGCCATAATTTAAATTCAAATTTTTTAATCAAGAAATTAGTATGGTTATCAAGGTTATGCTTAAAAAGTAATAGGTGTGAATCTTTCTGTTACTTGCTCAAGAATTATTTTAGTTTGGGGTATGATTTTTTTTCCCTTGTTTTCATATTGTTATTTGTGTATGAGGTAAATAACAGAACAAAATTGCAAAAAGGGGGGGGGGCTACTTGGATAATAAATGTAGAGGGCATTCTCTTTATTTTGAAAATAATCTACCAACAAAATCAAGTGAAAACTGATCATACCAAAAAATTAAACTTGAAATAATATATAAATTGGTTAAAACTTTTTTCTGGCTTAGAAACATTGAGCCACTGGGTGTCAACTCAAAAAGTTAGAACACAGTATCATTGAACATGTTGAAAGAAACTAACTTCATACTTTGTTGTTTCCTAGCCCATTAGCCCATTTCACACATAATATTCAGGTTTTTTTTGGTACTGTAGTACCAGGGTTCGACATTCACGCTCGTCACCTCGTCATTTCCACCCCTGATTGATTTTGGACGACCTGATTTTCAGTCTGGCTCGCCCAAATGACGACCTGGGACGAGTTGGGAATTTTCAATAATGATGTTTAATATTTTAAAATAAACTTTATAAGGCCTTGAAAACATTGTTTCCTGTAACCCGACCGACCCATTCAATTAGCAGCCGCGTGGATTTTTCTTTCTGTCAAATCTGTGTTTGATCAATCAGCTGATGTAATTTTTACCAAAAGTGTTAAATTAAGTTTTATTTGAGATATAAAATATGTAAACCTAGTCAACAATCACCATAAATATAAAGAGTAATGATCATTATTGTAACATCTAGTATTTCCCCCACAACTTTCTGATGTTCGTTTTCTGCTGCTAGACAGCCATGTAGGGTGTCCACTGTAAACATCACACCTGGTTAATTCAGTCCAGGGATGTTTATTAAGGCGTTTTTGGTAAGTGAAAATGAATGTTTTAAACTAGAAACTTTATTTTGTGTCAATAATGAATATGTGAGGTGAGATTGTATATTAGCAAAAAATAAATTAATAAATAAAATCCCATCCTACCAACCCTTGATTAATTGGGAATATTATACATGAAACAAACATTATTTTTTTTAAAGTCTAATTAGCATTCTGATTCTGCTTATTAATATTTGTTGCTTGTTTTCTTTGTTTGATAATATACTGGAAGACAGCTTTTGATATTCCAAAAATATTTGGTTTACATTTTATAATAGCATAACCTCTGTTATTTTAACAAATTTTAAACTATTGTACATTTTTGTTTCTTTTGATATTTTGTTCGGGCGACCTGAAATTCAATCGGGCAACCTGAAATCAGTACCAAGGTTGCCCAAATGGCAAGACCAAATTTTAACGAGTGTCGAACCCTGCTAGTGTACATTGTAAGTTGACTTAATTCATCAGCAGTTTTATTTTTCACATTTCTTCATCAACTCTGTTTTTTTTTCTACTTTCAATTAAAAAAAAAAACGATCCTGATTTAAAATGTGTAACATTTTAATTTACAAATTAACCTATCTTTGACATTGGGCTAATTCTCGCATAATCAATGCAATCAAATGATATTTTCTCGTGTTATCTCTTATACCCTGACAGCCTGAGGCATGTTACCTTGCCAGGTGGCTGTGTGCATTCAAGCGAGAAGTGATTTCCTGTCCTGAATTCACACCTTTGCGTGCATTAAATAAACAAAGGGGCTAATCAGCATGCACTGAATAAACAAAGCCGCTAGTCCATCTTGCCTCTGCTAGGCATATTTATTTATTTTTGCAAGGAAAAAAGGGCATGGCGCTGGAAAAAAGGGCATGGCGCCGCGCCATGCTAGTTTGCTTTAGATTTAACACTAATAAATATTATCGGCAAGAAGCTTAAAGAAATAATTTCAACTTCAGTCTGTAAATCACTTGCATTTAGCAAAATTTTTTCTTCTTGAGACGATAGCATCATAGTCGTTTCACAAGATTTTGTTAACTAAGATATAATTTCATCGCTTCTCCATCAGCCAGCAGTTATTGAGTTCTTGTTATCATTCATGAGATCTTTTATTTTTAGTTATTCTTACAAAATTACCTAAAAAAAAATATAGGGTTCTCAGAATAAAACATGATTACTGGGTGCTTGAAATATATCTGGTGAGTCCAAAAAAAAAAAAAGAGTGATACTATAAAAGCTGACTGATATCTGATAGACAAATACAAAGACTGATCACAGAATGATTTCTACAGAGTGGAGACCTAAAAAAAAGCCATAGATAAAATAACTGATAGTCACAAGACACTGTAACCATGGTAACTTGTATATCGTCACAATTTTCTTCTGTTTTAAAAGACTACAGTACAATGTACGAAATGAAATACATCTATACACTTGAAAATTCATCATCATTGTTTTATACCTTCAATGCCTCTTTCATTAAGCACACACGCAGATCTTTGGGAACACAATGAACTGCGTACAGCGTCAAATTTGAGTCTCTAACAATAAACTTTGAGCATATTTCAAGAAGAGAAGGTGTTGGTTTCCTGTTGAAACGGCCGATTGCCGGGGCGGCATGCAGATCCAGGGGATACACAGCACCTTGGTAATTATCATACCAGAGTGTTGTCTGCATAATTAGATGCTAAACAGTCTAAAAGGCATGAATTACTAATTTACTTTCAAAAGATCAAGTTCTTTTCATGCCCTAAGCTTTCGGAGCCACAGGAACTTAATAGTTCGAACTCTTAATCTTCGATTCTTTAAGAATATAGGCATTTTTTCTTATGGAATGTTATTTTAGTATGAATAACTTTAATTGACAATTTCATGAGACACATTAATTCTTTCTATTATCTCTACAAATTAATTTGTAATTGCTCTGATACAACAGGAACAATGATTAAAAAAACGAAGTTCTTAAGATTGAATTAATGAAAAGTATTTTGACAGCAAGAACATGGCATTGTGCAAAGGAAAGTGGATATTCCAAACGTTGCTCGGATTATATAAGGAAAATGTACAATTAAGGTTGTATTTTATCCACTATAAAATTTATTTATGGAGTTATATTATTACTTAGCTTGCGTGGTGATGAATTGAAAGATGTAATAATTTCGAAGACAGAGGAAATGCGCAATATCTAAATCTAAATCATCGTTGTTTACCGTACTGAACTAAAAATATGACACAAAAGACTGAGATTTATTCATTTCTCTTGATTTACAGTTATATCAGCACAAACCAAGTCCTTTCAAGTATGTACAAAGACAGACAATCTTCTACTCAGGAGAAGAGCGAATTAGATGCACTTTGCAGTGATGACAGACCACTCGAGAAAAAACCGATGATTCCGGCAAGATCTGAAGTGTCAACAAGTTTTACTTATGATCCTATAGTTCAGTAAGTTTAAGGTTGTATCGAATGTGATTTGGAGGAGTTTTTGTAATCTGATGGCATCATGCATGTTTTATTCTGTTATAAATGGGTAATATTCTCAAGCTTATGATTTATTCATCTTCCTCTGATATCCTTGACAATTTTTATAAAGACTCTTAGTTTTTGATAATGCAAAAAAAAAAAAATGAAATAGAGATCTTAGTTTTCATTTTTGCACCAAGTCACAATGTGAGTAACATTCTTTAAATATCTGTACAATTGACAATGTCTATATTTTGTTTTGCCAGTACCTCATTCTTCTTTTATAGAAAATTCATAAATTTACTAATGAGAAATGGCTGCAAAGAAAAGGCAAGAGAAATAACAGAAGGGGTAAGTTTTCTAAGACAATTTATTATTGAATGACAGTTTCAGATGACAAATGTATGCAGATCATCATCATGTACTTAGATTTTCTCTGTATATATCAAGGCTTTGGAGCAAATCAAGATGAGACAGATAGAAACTTATCACAAAGCAAAAACAGAGGCAGAAAAGGCCATGGTTGTCACTGACCCTATAAAGATATTTCATGGTGCTGTGGAAAACTGTAAACCATTAGTGGTTCAGAAGTCTGTGACAAAGGGAGGAACCTCTTACAGAGTAAGGAAAAGGGTCATTTGGTTGTCATAGTGTGGTATCTCACTCATTTACCACAAATAATGACATGAATACCACATACTGACATAAATATTGAAAGGAGAGTGAAAAATTGACATGAATCTTTATATTTATTTGATTACCAAATGTCAATGTGAATGACACATATTGACATAAAAACCACATGTACATTTGAATACCACATATTGCCATTAAACCCTATTTTGACATATCAATAAAGCAGTTCTTCATTTAATATACATGTATATTGCACTTGGCAGTGTTCAGTTGCCATCAAAAATTCATCAGTTTTCCCAATTCAAAGGCTCAGGCACTCAAAGCACTGGGAAAAAAAAATGAAATATAACTAGGGATTAATGATCCCCTTTTTGGACAGTCATTTGAAAATTTTTCAATAAGCTGCATGAATTTGGAATCTCTTGTAAAAAAAAATTAAGCTCCAAAAAATAATGCAAATAAATTAAAATAAGTCATAAAATTTGAGCAAATAACAAGATACTCAAATAAAACCCATTTACATAGGTTAAGAAACTAATGTACATGTAAATACATGTACTACTGTGGCATGTACCTGTACACATAATTTGGACAAAATGGACCCCTTTACAGGATATAAAGGACTTAACATTAACAGTTGACATATTGGCCCTTTCACTCTACTTCTTTACATCATCAGGACAAAATGTTTTTGTAATACATGTATTTATCTTCAAGAGGATTTGATTTCTAATATATTTCTTTTAACTTTAAGATTCCAGTATACTGTCATGACAGGAGAAAACTTCGACTTGGGATCAACTTTATCATTGATTCATGTCGTACGAGACGAAGAAAGGTTCCTATCGAAATTGTGCTTGCTGCAGAGATTTTACAAGCTTACAATAATGAGGTCAGTATTTATGAATTGTCAAATACAACATCCATATTAACAAAATGCAACATCAACACTGGTGCTTATTTAGTGTTAAAATTTGATTTTTTTTCTCATCTTCCAGGGCAATGCTGTAGGAAAGAAGCAACAGCTTCATAAGGAATGTGAGGCACAAAGAGCATTTGCACATTATAGGTGGAAGTGAATGGTTGGAATAAATAGACTGTATTTATTTTGGCTCTTTGTGTCTTTTTACATTGTTTAAAAATATAACTCAGTATTGAAAGACAGAAATCCAGATACATGTACTTTACAAATGATACATGGAAGCAAATATCCAAAAAAGATAATTTGAAATTTCAATACAATGTACTGACTGGTAGGAATGGTTCGGACAGATGAAACACACTGTGTGCATCATCATATACATGTACATGTAATACCAAACTCTAAACATCAGGTCACTATGTACATGTATATGTATATATGCATGGTATATAGTGCAGAAAATTAAATTCCAAGGCCACTGGGGGCATTAAGTTTGTGAAAGCATCACATAAGACTCAAAAAAAAGCTGCAAGTCACAAATATACAGCTAATAATAAACTTAGCTTGGTATCTACAAGTACTTGTACAAATAAAAAGGTCTGGAAAACTGAGACTTTTTAAAATATGAGGACAATAATTGTAGTGAAAGATGTCAATGTTGACAAGAAACTTGATTTGTAAGTTGTCAACATAATTATGACACATTCATTTACATGCCCCTGAAAAGAAAGGCAAGAACATGTTGAATATGTAGAAATTTTAAACATTCAAGGACGATAACACTACTGATAAAAGGAACACGATGAATATATAAGCTTATCTAAGCTTCATGATTACAAAAAATGTTTTTTGAAAAGATATGATGAAAGAAACAGTTTAATATGCTATATTATTAGGGCTACTAGCTCCTTTGCCTTCTCACCCCAGGGTCAAGGGAGAAACTATGTGGTAATGTGAGGGACTAAACATTAATTTATGCAGCTTCTACACACATCATTGTTCTGAAAATCTACTAAAATTTAAATCTGATTACCCATTGTAGCCCCTCCCTATCCCCAGGATTCATGATTTCAACAACTTAAATCTATACTATCTAAGAATCCTTCTTTATAAATATGACTGATCATGGCTTTGCCGTTCCTGGGAAAAAGAATTTTTTCTGTGTATTCCTATGTTAAACTTTGATGGCCCACTGTAGCCCTGCCCCATTCCCAGAGGTCATGATTTCAACAAACTTGAATATACATTACCTTTGGATGCTTTCATACAAATATGACTGATCATGGCTTTGCTGTTCTTGATGGTAAGATTTTTCTTATTTATACCAAGTAAAACTTTGATTGCCCATAGTGGCCACACCCTACCCCCAGGAGTCATGATTTGAACAAACTTGAATCTACACTATCTATGGATGCTTCCATATAAATATGACTGATCATGGCTTTGCTGTTCTTGAGAAGATGTTAAGCTCACCTGAGCTAAAGGCTCAAGTGAGCTTTTCTGAATGAAATTTGTCCATTGTCTGTCATTGTCATAAACTTTTCATATTTTCATCTTCTTCTCCAGAACCATGTGGCCAATTTCAACCAAACTTGGCTCAGAGTATCCTTTATTAAAGGGGATTCAAGTTTGTTCAAATGAACTTAAGAATATATATGAAAATCTTAGTCTTCTTCTTCAGAACAGAAAAGCCATGATTAGTCAGATATATGTGGAAGCATCCTCAGATTCAAGTTTGTTCAAATCATGACACCTGAGGGTAGGGCGGGGCTAAGGGTAGGGCGAGGCCATAATATTTACCTAAGAATATAAGGGCAAAATCTGCTGATGAAGAACAGAAGGGCCATAGTTACTGAGATGAGTGTTTTGACATATAGGCCTCTTGTTCAAGATTTTTCATATATATGTCCATGCAAAACTTTGATCCCCATTGTTGTAGCATGGGTCATGGTTTAAACAAACTTGAACCTACACAACCTGAAGATGCTTCCATTTAAATATGATTAATTATAACTTTCCTATTCTTGAGAAGATTTTTCCTATTCATACCCTATGTAAAACTTTGATTGTCCATAGTGGCCACACCCTACTCCCTGGGGTCATGATTGAACAAATTTGAATCTACACTATCTGAGGATGCTTCCCTATGGATATGTCTGATCATGGCTTTGCTGTTCTTGAGAAGATTTTTAAAATTCTGTATAAAAAATGCAGCTGAGAAATCTACTATGGTAGGCAATAATGCCAATCAAATGTGCTATGGCTCTTTCGATCAGAAAAACTCACTTGAGTCTTCGGCTCAGGTGAGCTAAAAACAATATCACACTGATTCTTCAAGTTCACATTGCTTTGTTTTTGTATATGCATCATATACAGACTCTTCAACAATTATGACATTTCTAGATTTTCAGTCTGTGTAGAAAATAAACAAGATTTTAAAATCTATAATTTCTTAATTTATAAAAACAATATTTTCTCATAAAGCATTTTCATATGTGCACAGTAAATCTAACAGAAATGAAATGGTTATGTCTCCGATACAAGTTTAAATTTAGCTTTTAGAGGTATTGGGATAACATGAAAGAATTTTTTGTAAATTTCAAGTCCATTCTGAACTGGTCTATAGAGAGGGCTGTTTGGGTATGGATTGAGTTTTTCACATGAAACAATCACTGTCCCGTCTGTGAGTGCAATCAGCCGATTCGTCCTGTCTATGTCCACCTACAAAAGAGGATCAATACCTATTTAATCTTTACAAATACATGCAGCAACAAATGAAATTCTATGCATGCAGAACTTTTAATGTTTGCCTTTTAATTGTTTGTTATCTCCATCCATACTCAGGCAAATTAAAAAAAAAAAACTAAACTGAAAGTTACTAAGGGCATGTGACTCCAAAATATTAAGGCTACATTGTTTATCTTCAACATTCCAACAGTTTTGGCACATGAATTTAAATGAAGAAACTCCATAAGAAGGTGATGAGCTAAGCCAGTGGCAATGATTTTAATCTAAATCTACAATATATTCTGCTGCTTGCATTGTAATTCTTGTTCTAGAGGAAGTCTACTCCAATATAAGTAATATGAACCTGCAACATGGTCCAGTCTGAAACCAGAAAAAAAACTGACTTGAACAAATCTGAAGTTACACTAAATAAGCAAAACTCCCTGGAAATATTTCATGTTGAAAGTTAACCATTGTCCTCAAAGGACCCCCCCCCCCCCCCCCCCGGCCAAGTGTACCAAGTTTGATATCTGTCAAGCAGTAAGTTCTCAAGTCATTGGGCAGAAAATCTCTTTCCATGTTGAGAGGCATTTGACCTTTGACCTAGTGACCTAAAAATCATCATAAGGGGGTACCAGTGTACCATGATTGAGATCTGTCAATCAAAGGGTTCCCAAGATTAGGGTAGATGTCCAGAGTAGTTTGACCTTTGATCTTGTGACCTAAAAATCAATCTCTGGACATAACAAGATATTGTCCACACACAATATCTTGTCAATGAGAACCCTTTGCTTGACATCAAACTTGGTATATTGGTCCCCTCCCTCCCAAGAAGTAGATGACCCCTATTGATTTTAAGGTTACAAGATCAAAGGTCAAACTACTCTTGACATTAGACTAGAGTAACTGGATCTAGAAAAGAATCAAACGTACATGTACACATCTAGAAACTAAACCGTACATAAATCACACAAACTTTTATCAAAAGAATCAGATTAACTTAAAAGGCTTTGTGGTACAAATATTTGAAATGTGACAAAATTGTTTTAAATATTGATAGAAAATTGCAAAAGGCAAAAAGTTCACAATAAATAATGCATGTAAATCAATGATTTCATTCACAGAAAAGGGATTGAAACACTTTTCTTCTTTTTATGAAGTAGCAGATTCTTTCAACAAAACCGATCTGGGAAAAGTATTTTATCCATCCATATGTGTTTTAAGTAAAAACTTACATTTTCTCCTGGGTAGAACCTCAGCCCACACTGATTGACTAATATCTCTCCTTTGTGAACAAAGTTGCCATCATTTCTTTTTATGCCATAAGATTTTCCAACTGTGGCCCTTTTGCCTCCCAGGTTTTTAGACCTTCCTCCTTTCTTTTTTGATCTGTATCTTACTGATGTCACTGCTGGCAAACCTATATATAATAAAGAAAGAAGGACATAACTTATATCAGTAGTAATAAAAAATATTTGTACATGTGTACCACTGACTTAATACTGGCATGTTTGTAGCAGTGTCTAAGCAAATCTGGTCCACCTGATATATTTCTGTAGACAGTTGCTAATAAAACTAATAAGTGTTTTGTTCTGTTGATGACCAATAACAGTTACCAATAACAATGAAAGGATTTCATCATCTGTGCAAATCTCCTTTGCTAGCATCCTTTAGTTTACCGATTATATCACTGAAAAGGGGAGTTACTCTATATTTGATAACTGCATTGAAAAGTAGGTAACTGTATATATGTTTCTTTTATACAAAACAAAGAAAACTGGAAACCAACACCTTGAGGTTAAATTTGAGGAAGATTCCCACCTGTGGATACCGAAAGGTATTCAATAGGATCTGTATCTAAAGTTATAAACTTAAAGATATAAAACAGATCACCAACACTTCCTAGGAATGCAGCTGTAAATTTATTTAGTTGACCGGTTTCGACCAGAGACGGTCGTCATCAGAACAATTATACATGAGTTATTTCTTTATAAAGTAAAAAAATGCGGACTACGTTGCTTATATACAGACATTGAGAATGTGGATGACATAACAACATGCAGACTAAATTGTTTACATTATTATGTATATAAATCATAATTGTGTGAAATTATTACTAAACCTTGCATAACATTATTTTTTCTCAGGTAATTAATTAAACAGTCCATAAATTCCATGAATCGTTATAGTTCTGTTTTTGTAGGGATTCTGGTAGCTCATCTTGGCAGACAGTGTTTGTAATATTGACTCGTTAGATGCGGACTTTACTGGATTGTTTTCTTTGTATTTTTTTGGCAGGTATAATTCTGAAGGTTTGGTTGACTTCGGATGCTTGTTTCTTTTATGGTAAACATCTAATAAATAAGTTTAGACTGTCTTTTTGGTGCTAGATATGAAATTTAATCATACTTTTCTCCTTACTTTAAGGCTGTAAATGAATTATGTAGAAAATAAAGCATTTTCATGGCATTCAGCTTGAAATAATATGAAAAGGAATCTGGATACCCCTATTCAATCTAACTATGATATTAATATTATTTTAAAGATGAGGTCAACAACATATGAATAATCTTTTTCTGAGACAGTATGCAACCTGGATACATATTGTTTTTTGATGTAGGGGAAAAATCCCATAATTGGTTTTCTTTTTCATTGAAATTGACAGTTTAAAACACATTTTTCTGTTGAGTTTACATAAAAATTATGCCCTGACATATCTTATTTGACCAAGCTAAAGTTACTCAGCATCATTCAAGGGATTTATTTCTTATCTTTACCTCAAAAGTAAAAAATAATGCTAGCATTCTTTTTTATATATAACATGTAAATTTGGATGACATAACATTGTTTTATCTGCCATATGTTGTCATCTTTATTTTGTTACTCATCCTCTATGGAAATATTGTTTTATCTGCCATATGTTGTCATCTTTATTTTGTTACTCATCCTCTATGGAAATATATATACAGCAATTACATGAATTCATTTAATATCCAATGACAAAGCATCAATCTAGTCCAATGAAAAACAAAAATTCTGAAACAGGGGAATTTATTATATATATACATTTCAAAAAAATGAACAGCACCACCAACAAATTTACTAAAAGGACACCTCAATCAATCAATCAATCAATCATTTATTTGAATCTCTTCACCATTTTACAATAGCATATAGAGACTTACAACAAATGGATAATTTAATACATAGCAATAGCATGCGTGAATAATAAAGAACAAAAAACTAGTACCTTGCTATAAATGTGAAGCATGGGAATTCTAAACCGGGGAGCATATTTTATTTATTTTCTTTATAAATGAACACATTTTTCTCAGAAAACAGTGTTTATTGCTATTCATGATGTTTTTAAAACTAATTATATTCTTAAATTTTGTGTGTTTTCCTGTTAAGCATAGCATTCTTTCTTTTTGTAGTGAAGTGCACATTAGTATGTAATGAAATTCATCTCCGATTTTTTTTTAGATTACAATGGGAACAAATTCTGTCTTGTCTTGGTATATTAAGCCAACGTCCACTTTCAATTGGTAAATGATGGTTACAAGTTCGGAATCTACAAAATGTAGTTGAATCCTTTTTTGATAAAATATTAAAATAGTTTTCAAACTTTAATTCGTCTTTGTATATTCTATAATTTAATGCTTTAGGTGAGGTTTGAAGAGTTGATTGCCAACTTTGCTTGAATTGATCAATTTATGTGAGTTTAACTTTCGCCTTTAACCATTTTGTATTATTTGAGCTTTGTTCAAGCCAAATATTAGATAGCCCACAATTATTCAGAATATGTCCAATATTTTCAAACCAGTTGATTTTTCCTCCTATTTCTTGATTTATAATAAAGCCTAATTTATAGCATAAATTTGCAATTTTTGTTTCCTTGCCAGTAATTAATTTTGACCAGTAAGATATCATGCATGTTTTTATTTGAATTTCCATAGGGTATCGACCAAGCTCACCATATGTCATGAAATCTGGGGTTGAATCTTTCAAATGGAGTAAAAGTTTACAGAATTTTAGATGTACCCTTTCTATAATTGCATTATTTGAAAATCCCCACACTTCACATCCATATAACAATATAGGTTGAACGATGTTATCAAACAAATCAAGTTGACACTGTATTGATAGGTTATGCAATCTTCCTTTCTTTACTACTTCATATAATGCTTTTGTTGCTTTTTTTTTTTTAAGCAATCTCATAGCCTCCTACTCTAAAAAAAATTTCTTATTTAGCTACCAATTTACCAAAACACAAAAATAATTAATTATATCTCCAATTTGCTTTCTTTATTAATTAAGAAAATTTCCCCCCAATCAGTAAAAAATCAAACTGTGTAGATCTTTTTTTTTAACCTTATGCTGACAATATGATGATGCTATTAAAATGATGAGGCTGTGACACGGATATTACCGTTCGGTTTGACCATGTTGACATGATTTGAAGGTGACTTTTTAGCAGAGGCAAGTCGAATTAAGCAATCTATGGTGACGCTTATCAAAACAGTAAAGTTATTTTTCTAAAAAAAAAAAATCTGTATATTCACCTAACGCAGAAGAGAAAAGACTTCGATTAAATTCTTGCGACACCTGCCTCACCATGGAGGCTGCCATCTTTAGGGCGAGGGTAAATGTAATACATTTTCTTGGCCGCGTTTTCTTGCTTAATACTTTAAGAAATCTCGACTTAAAATCGATATTCACAAATTCAATTAAAAGTAAGTCTGACTGATCTCAGACACATATATTCTCAAGTTGTAATAAAACAGTAAAAGGGGAAATAGTAAGAATTGGAGGAACAATATTTTTTTAACAGTCTACACCCGGACGTTTATGGGAACTGTATTTACCGACTGTGCTATATTCATTCGCCTTATATTATCATGATTATACTAACATTAGTACGTTCTAAGGTTTTATTTATATATATTTCTTATGCTGATATATAGTATGCAAAATTAAAAGATACAATGTATAGAGTCATTAGACTTAAAAATACACTAGGATATTTTGTGAACATGGTGAACTATATAACGCGAGTTTACTTCCTCTTTTGAAACGGAAATGTTCCAAGGCACCCCAATACTGGCGGAAAAAATGAATCTTGATGACAGTGTATCTCAGATATCGTCTATGTGTCCTTCTTTCACATATGATGAAATTAAACACGATCTATCCATCACAAACAGCGTTGAACGGACAGTTAATCGACTTCTGGACAAATCTATTTCTGATGTAAATACATTAAAAAAAAAAAGATTGATTCTTAGCTCACCTGTGGTATAAGCTCAAGTGAGCTTTTCTGATCACCCGTTTTCTGACGTCTTTCTAATGTCTGTCTGTCTGTCGGCCCGTCTGTAAACTTCACACAATTTTTACTTCTTCTATAGAAGCACTGAACCAATTTTAACCAAACTTGCCATAGAGCATCCTTGGGCATGTTGGGTAAAGAAGATTCAAAATTGTTCAAATGAAGAACAATCCCTTTCAAAAGGTAAATAATCAAGAAAATGGAAAAAATAGGTGAACCTTTCAAATCTCAAAATCCACTGGTTCAGAAAAGATGAAATTTATCTGAAAACTTCTTTACAGAGTGCAATTTCTAATTTCAAATTGCTTCCATGCATAGGGTGGAGCCATACAGAGAAGACTTTCTCTAAAGCAATAAAGTCATGTTAGTCGGACTGTTATTGAAGCATATCCATGTGTGGATGCAAATTTGGTTAATTAAGTTATGACAAAGGGGGGCTAGTTTGGTGTTACAATATGGGGTCAACAACTTTTATGGGAATGAAGAGGAAAAATAATCTTTTAAATATCAGAGTTGTGGAAAACTGCCGGTCATGCCGGCAAAACCGACAAAAAATGCATGTGACCGGTAAAAATGTTATCGATGTCGGTCCAAATGACCGGGCGCTTTTTTGGGTTAAAGTTTTTTGTTTTACCATTTATCATCGACGCACTTTAATTATCGTACCTTACATGTATATGCGATTGCGTAATTCTTTTTCTTTACACGAGATCGAGACTATAAATGAAAGCAAAACCAGCATGTTCTCGTGACCTATTAAATTTACAACTGGGACAGAGGTAGAAAACATAACTGATAAAGACAAGCTAAATATGAAAAATTTCGACAGAAAGAATTCAAACACAGTTGGGAAAAGAGGTAAATCTAATACTTACGACTGTCCCGGATTTGTTTTTTTCATCATCTTAAATGTGGATGCACATAATTTCCACAATTTTTTTAGACTCATTTTCTAGGTTAATGTAATTCCCAAATGCATAAATGTTTAAAAAAAAAAAGTTTACTATGCTGAATTAGCATTGTCACCTGCCCAAAAGCTGTGAAATCTAGTATTGTTATAAATGCAAAAAAACAAAAATGAAAGAGGACTTTGAAATGGAGACTGAATGTTGTATTATTAAGTAAATAGATGTGTAATGAAGTAAATAAATGTTATGTTCTTTTTTTAATTTTGCGACTTACTATTTCGGACCGGCAAAAATCACTTTGGACCGGCTTATTTTGTCTTCTTGCCATTCTGAACGACTGGCTATCTGAAAAAGTTTTCCACAACTCTGAAATATCTTCTTCTGAAGACTCAGATGAGCATTGTGGCCCATGGCCTCTTGTTTTTTTTAATTTGAAATCAGAACTGACTCTGTTTCAGTTTTTTTTTTAATTTTTGTTCCTGTAAATTTAATTGTTGGTCTTCTGCAACCTCAGAATTTAGAAATTATATTAGTAAGGATTCATAATTTACTGTACTAAGTGTATATGTTGCACGTATGTATGAAAATTCCAGGCAGTGAAAGAATTGTAATTGCATTCAGTCAAATCAAATCTTTTATTCAGAAAAGTGAAACACAACCAGTGATGGATTTCAGTAGTGATGATGAAGAATTACCTGTCATTTTCAAACCTTCCAGTAAACCAAATTTATGCAAAGCAAGTACATTAAATAAGATTTCAACTGATTCAAGTGCCAAACCATCAAATGAACAGATTTCAATTATACTAGATAGTGATGAAGAAAATAAACAAAGTACTAAAATAAATATAGCAGCTAAACCAGTGTATCATAGTATGTCAGATAGCTCAGAGGATGAACCCTGTTTGCCTTCTCTAAGAGACAGAATATTGGGTAGTGTATCCAGCAACAGTTCTAAACATACCAGCACAGAAACCAGCCCACTTTCAAGACCTGTCTCTGCTTCAAAGAGGGAACTTCCCTTAGAGAACAATATGAAAAGAAATATTTTAAATTCAGGAAATCTAGATAGTGAATTTCATTCAAATGAAGGAGAGTTTTCAGAGAGATCAGACTATAGTGATCAAAGCACAGAAAGATGGAGCACTCGCAGTGAGAGCCAGTCTATTAGAACCTTGTCACAATCCTCTGAATGCAGTGGTGGGGAAGTTATAAAGAAAAAAAGAACAAAGGAAGAAATTTTAATCCTAAAGAGAGAAGCTGAGGTAAGTATTTGAACATTTTATTTTATTTTGTAAAAATTGAATCTACAGAGCTTGAATAATAAAGTAGGTTTAGACTTTTTTTTTTGATACCTTTATATGTATATATGTATAAAACTTGAAATATACACAGTTTGGTAATAAAATTGTTCTTGCTTTGGGAGACTGATGAATTTCTCAATGTAACTAAAATAATCAGTTATGTATTTGCCCCAGCTAAAACGGTTATATTGAAGCACTAAAAAAGTTTTAATGCACCAGTTCTATGATTGATATACTAAATGTGGTGAGCTTTATTTTTACAGAAAAGAAAGAGAGAGAAAAAGAAAGCCAGAGAAGAAAAGGTACTAGAGAAAGAGCAGGAAAAACAAAGAAGGGAACAAATTCGAAATGCAGAAAGAGAAATGAAGAAACAGATGGGTGGATCTAAAGACTGTTTGCAGGTAACATTGAAAATTATAACAATAATCTTATGTTTTGCACATAAATAAGACAGTCATTGCAGTATGTTGTTTTTCAAGCTCACATCCAAAATATCTCTTGAAATGAGATATTGAAAGAAATTGTCAGAGCTACAACTTTATAGGATATATTAATTTTGAATGAAATCAAAATTAATTTTATTGATACCTATGGACTAAATACACTTAAACTTGTTAATTCATGGAGAATAAGTTGAAGATCAGGGTCACTAGGTGATAACACGTTAAAATTTGACTAATCAATAATTTTGTAATGGTTGATTAAAGTCTGTGAATACCTAGTATAATGGTAACCAGTACATTAGGTTTATTATGATGATTGATCCAAGGACATGATTATAAAAGAATCACCAGGAACATACATTTATAATGGGATGGAGAGAGACATCTATTTCTGTTTGAAGTAAATCAAACTCTATTTTTAGAAGCAAACATATGTTTATGTAGCTTTTGTTTTTATAGTACATGATTTTGGTGTTGGATACTCGCATAGTGAACTCTGGGGGGCATGGAGTGGCCATTTTTAAGGCTTGTGAGGCACTGGGGATACAATATATCACAGAGGAACAGACAGTACCCTTCAGTATCACATGGAAAAGACAAATCACCAGTATTAATGTTTCTGAAGAAAATCAGGTACTATTTATTGATCTTTCATTTAACTCCCTACTTGAAAAGTGGGAGGTACATTGTATATAGTGATGGGAGTGTCCATCCGTATGTCTGTCCGTTACACTTTGCTGTTATACTCATATGGGAGCAGGGCTCATTTTGCCCACACCTCTTAGCTCACCTGATTTGAAAGCTCAAGTGAGCTTTTCTGATCACTTTTTGTCTGTTGTCCATCTGTTTGTCTATAAACTTTTCATAGTTTCAACTTCTTCTCCAGAACCACTTGACCAATTTCAACCAATCTTGCCACAAAGCATCCTTGGGTAATGGGTATTCAAGCTTATTCTATTGAAGGGCTGCATCCTCTTTCAAGAGGAGATGATTAAGAATTAATGAAAAATTTGGTGGTATCTATTAAAAACCTTCTTCTCAAGAACCACTGGACCAAAAAAGTTGAAACTTAGGTGAAACCTTCTTTACATAGTGTAGATTCATATCTGTTCAGTTCATTACTCTCAGGGGTTATTTGGGGCCACAATGAGGGCCTCAAAGTTTTACATAGGAATATATAGGAATAAATATTTAAAAATCTTTTTCTCAAGAACAGCAAAGCCATGTTTAGTCATATTGATATGGAAGCATCCTCAGGTAGTGTAGATTCAATTTTGTTCAATTCATGACCCCCAAGTATTGGGTGGGGCTACATCTCTAAAAAATAATGACACCTGGGGGCAGGGTGGGGTCACAACATGGATCAAAGTTTTACATAGGAAAGTACATAAAAAAATCTGCTAATGAAGAACAGCAGGGCCATATTGACTTAGGTGAGCATTGTGACCCATGGGCCTCTTTTTTATTTAAATAATCCTTCACTGATTGTACTGTGCTTAATAACATTTCAGGTTAAAACAGTGAACTCTGAGCAATTGGAGGATGACGTTCTTGTTTTACTTCCTGTGGCTGACTTTGTCATGTTTGTGCAGAATCATAAAAAGGTCTTTTTAAGTATCTTTACAGCAGCTCTTGATGTATGAATTTACATGTAATGTTATACACTCAAATCATGTGTGACACCTGGACAATGCTTCCAGTTCTGACTTAAATGATTTTGATTTCCTACTACATGTTGGAAATCTAATATGAATTTGTTTTCCTATTTCTATTTCAGGGCCAGTATGGAGCAGAAAATGAAGGACCAACACTTAACAGCTATGTACATACAGTAAAACAACATTTACCCAAGTCCATTTTATCTTTTGTGGTCATAGGGATGGAAAAATATTTCAGGTTATCACTTTGTTGCACATTAAACTGTTCAAGACTTTATTAAATATTCTCGAAGTTTTTAAAAACTTTTCATTTAAAATCATCATTTAAAATGTATCATAGTACTCGTACATATGTATTAAGGATACACCAAATGTTTCCAAATGCCAGAATTTAATTTGCATGTAATTCTTTCATTATCAAAGATAACATAATAAAAGTATATACCGGTATCATTTGAAAGCTTGTTAAATATACTACTTAATTATCCTTATTTAAACTTTAATTGATAAGTTATTTAAAAATTATTTAAATATTAATGTAAATTTTAGTGCATAAATATTTCATAAATCAGCTTTTTTGTTTTTAACCCCTCAAAGTAATCATTTCACCTCAAGGCAGATTAAAGATTGAACTTAAAAACTGTATCTCAGATTTTTGATAAATCTTCTAATTCAAAAGTTACAGCCATTTGCCCTTCAATGTTACCAATTTATTAGCCTAATTTAACATTTCCCTCAGTAATTCCAAAACTAAGCTAGATATCAAAAATCTGAGATACCGTTTTGTGAACACACATTTGAGAAGCAACCCATCCAATTTTCAGATAAATTGGTCAATAAATAAGGGAGCTGAATCCTTTGAAATAATACCACAAACTACCTGATCTTACTTTACAGTAGAGGGCAAAAACCCATTACACAACAAAATCTGCCAAAGCTAGAAATATATGACACCTTGGAGATCCAGCTTTGGATACCTGTCACTTAGCCATATTTTCAATGCATATTCACAAGAATGGGAGGTTCTTTTCTGTATTTAGATGCTTTTAATTAAGTAAAATAGGTTCAATTCTGAATCAGAAAGATTTCCCGGCAAAATGGCAAGAGCTAAGCTCCACCTCTTATTTTTATGGTCATCAGTGATCTGTTAGATCTCTTTCTCTTAATCTAGAGTCCCTGTAGTTTAATTACTGATAACCTCTGTGTGGCTAGTGAAGAATTCCCCAAGCGGTCACAGTGATTTATTAGGTCTTTCATGAGCAGGCAGTCACAGATCAAATCAGAAGCTTCAATAACGGAACATTCACATGTGGTAGTGTTTATGTTTCATTATTGTTAAATAATTAGAAAACCATTTCATAATTACCAAGAATTTTACATGCATTATAAAGCAGTAATTTACTTCTTTTTCTTAGCCAAAAATCTCAAAATTGTTGAAAATCTTGAAAAAAGCCTTTGGTGTATCCTTAAAGTGTATGTGTGTGCTTTTATTATATCTCTAAAATTTAATTTTCATAGTAAATTTCATAATTTATTTCATACTTACCTATTCTTCTGACATATATTTTCATAATTTCCACAATTTTTTTTTTCAAGTTCCAATGTTTTTAGGTCACCTGAGTCACTCAGGTGACATATTGCTATCTGATTTTGTCTGTCATCTTACGTCGTTCGTCGTCAATCGGTCGTAAACTTTTGAACATTTTTAGCTTCTTCTCTGGAACCACTGAACCAATTCCAACCGATTTTGGCATATAGCATCTATGGGTGAAGGGGAGTAAAAATTGTGAAATTCATGGCCCCTGCCCCCCTGGGGCCTGAGGGGTGGGGCTAAAACCATCAAAATTAATACAATCTTTAAAAATCTTCTTCTTTACTCCTGGACATCAAGCAGTCAAACTGTTGGCATGATTGTAATAAGCATTGAGCCCTCTACCAAAATTGTGAATTTCATGGCCCCAGGGTCAGGGGTTCTAATGATTATATAGTGAAAATGCATTAATTCTTTGAAAATCTTCTCCTCTGCTCCTGGGTATTAAGCCAATGAATTAAATACATAGTTATGATGAGCAAGAGTGTCTCTTCCGAAATTGTGAATTTCATGGCCCCTCTTGGTGAGGGGTTCCATGGGGGGGGGCTTTTTTTCTATATAGTGAAAATAAATTAATGCTTTGAAAATCTTCTCTGCTCCTGGGTATTGAGCTGATGAACTAAGTACATATTTATGAAGAGCTAGAGTGCCTCTTCCAAAATTGTGAATTTCATGGCCCCTTGGTCAGGGGTTCCATGTTGGGGGGGGGGGCTTATTTATTATATACTGAAAATAAATTAATGCTTTGAAAATCTTCTCCTCTGCCCCTTGGTATTAATTAAACAAACTAAATACATAGTTATGATGAGAAAGGATGCCTCACCCAAAATTTTGAATTTCATGGCCCCTGGGTCAGGTGTTCTTGAGCTTGGGTGGGGTTCTATTGATTAATTAGCAAAATGCATGAATGCTTTGAAAGACTTCTCCTCTGCCCCTGAGTACTAAGCAAACAAGCTAAATGCAATAATATCAATGTAAATACATGTATCAAATTTAATTATAAGTAAATGTGCTTTTTCTTTGCTTGTGGGTATCTAGGAGGCAGAGTACACAATTGTGATGTGAAGCAAATGAGAGTTACTCCCCTTTGCTAAATATTGTTAATCAAGAAATCCTTGTATATAATTTAATTAACAGGTTATTTGATTGATTGAGAATACAAGAAAGAATGTTATATATATATAGACACAAAATAAAAATGAATGTTTGGTTTAAATGAGCAAAGTATGCTCAAAGTCAGATTCTTGCCTAGAAAGCAGTATAAAAGATTGACATAAAGATTATTTATATATTTAGCAAAAGTTGTAATTGTACACAGTATGTATACTCTGTGGTGATCTAAGTTAGTGTCACTTGTAGAGGAGTTGTGGTTGTCACGAGACTGGATGTTGTTTTATACTTTATCAAAGTGAACAAAGAATCACAGAGAGCCAGGGTGACTTATTGTAATTAGTGACAAGTGAAGAAGAGCCGTGTTGTGTACCCTAGTCTGTGTGTACTGAATTGTAGCACTAGGCAAGTGACAAAAAAATATCTGTATATATTGAATACCTTACACAGTAGGCAAGTGTTCTTTGTATTTGTATATTTTGCATTCATTATCATCCCTGTAAGACTTGGGAAAACCAAGTATGATCCAAAGGAGATCAATCGGGTCTAGCACATTACAATAAGCAAGGGTATTTTTACCAGATTTTTAGCTCACTTTGACGAAGTCGAGATGAGCTCATGCTATACCCCCGACGTTGGCGTCCCGGTTAAAGTTTTAGGAGCAAGTCCACTCCCAAGTAACTATAAGCCCTACCTGAACCAAACTTGCATGGATGATGCATCTAGGGATGGACACTACCAGTCTTGCTTCGGATGCTGGATCTGACCTAGATTTTCCAGATGAGTGACCAGGTTAAAGTTTTTGGAGCAGGTCTTTTTCCAAGTAACTATAAGTCCTACTTAAACCAAACTTGCATGGATATTGATCTTGGGATGTACACTAACTAGAAAAAAATATGATGTGAGATTTGCCTTACTTACAGATAACATTTGTCGAGGTGAGCTTCATAATCTTTGATTACCTATGTTTGAAATTCTTGGGCAACTTTGCTTCGTCTATCAGTTAATTTTGTTTTATACTTCCATGGATCCTTTAGTGTTGTATTATACTCAGGTGACCGTTAAGGCCCTTGGGCCTCTTGTTTAAAGAACTCAACATTTTTGATGAATTTTTCAAATGTTAACCTTCTCTTTTTATGCAGAGATCAGAAAACAAAGGTTCAGAGGAAACACCGAGCTGCCGTACTGTCCAGCGAGCGAGTGGACACCAGCGCTGACACCAGCAGTGTCAACAGGCTTGATGTCGAAGAGGTTTTTTAAGCTTCAAAAATGAATTTTTAACATTGTACATTGAAACCAAAATGTCCTTTGCATGTGACTAATCTTTGCAAGTTTCCTGAGGATTGAGAAATCCAGATAGCTGCTGTTGTGTTAATCAGTCAGATATCTTAAGAGATGAGAAACTTTGGATTGAAAAATTGCTGAAGAAATTCATAGTATGTTGTTTGTTGTTGAAATTGCAAAAGAAAATAGCAAAAAAAAAAGTTGAATTACATTATTTTACATATAATGTGGTTTTTCTTTAACAGTCAATAGCATTGTGTTTCATGTTATAATCCATTATCTAACATGTTATGATTTAAGTGTTGGTACATGGGTGTGACTCATACATTTCACATTAATTTTAATTACTATGTTTTTGATGGTCACTTAAAGGCAATAACAGACAACCAGCTACAGACGGATGTAATGGTGTATCTACTGGAGACCTCTGAGGAACTTGCTGAGTTTGTACGCACCTTCTCAAAGGCAGTGGCAGAGAAACCTGCAAAGTAATAATTTATATTTTTTTTAAAATGATGTTATTAAAAATGCATGAAAAAAATGGTAAAAAAAAATCACATTAAAAAAATGTCAATGCATGTAAGAAAGAAATATGCTGCCAATGTATTACGAACTTCGGTATCACGAACACCGATATCTCGGATACCACAGATATGTCAAAGTGAATTGCAAGTCCCAAGGACTTTTTCTTTAAGTATTTTACCCTCAATATTTCAAACCCTCAGATATCTGAATGTTTTTTTCTTGGTCTATTCAAGTTTGAGATAATGAGATTTGTCTTTATTACATCATACACTTGTAATTCAATACTTCCTCAGTATACATGCATATAATAGAATTGAAAGGACATACATTTTTGGCATATCTTGAATATATAAGCAGGTAGAGGAATAAAATCTTCTATGGAAATATAGGTGTTTTATAGATCTTATCTATAACTTTTAATTTACAATCAGCTTGGGTTAAATGTGTTTGTCATCCATTTTTCTAAGAGACACAATACAGTGCACAACTTATAAAAAAAAATCACTGACAGTATTTCATTGAAGTATTTTAATATTGTGATCATAATTTCATGAATTCCACTTTCCAAAAAGACATTTTCTTTCTACTAGAAAAGGCCGTCTGCAGTCTGCTTTCTTTGATGATGGTATAGCAACAGTAAAAGTGGACAAGAATGGACATGGTCTTCTGAAAGTTTGGAAGCAGCAGCTGATGCAGTTTAAAAATATCAGTCCTGATATTGCTGATGCAATTGTTGTGGCTTACCCATCTCCACACCTACTAATGGAGGTAAAATTATATGTTGGGAATTTTTCCATGCACCATGCTGTTCATTCATATTTAGACTGTATGTGTACTTTATATTTTAGCGGCTTTTGCACGGACAACGATACGCTAATTCATGAATACCGCTAATAAATCATTTATAAATACAATACAAGGCACAGACATGTTTCATACATGGAACATACCCAGTGGTTGCGCTAAATTTTGAATTTGCCAATTTATGTTAATGAACAGTAATTTTTTTTGGTTCAATTTATATTTCTTGGTCACACTTCAATTAACTTTAATATGCAATTCTTGTATGTTAAAGAATTTTTATCATAAAATTAAGAAATGGAATGAACATTTATACTGTTAATTTAAAAAAAAAAAAATATTTCAGGCATACAGAAAATGCAGTGATTCAAATGAACAACAGAAATTGCTGGAAAATATTGTTGTAAGTTATCAATATTCTTTTGTATGTTATTTTTGTCTATTATTGTCAGCTATGTATTTTGTTGGAAGTTGTGTACACTGTATATTGTGTTAAGTTTTATTCATTGTTGTAGGTATATATTTTATTGTAAGTTACAGAATGTACATTATTGTAGGATATATACACGTATGTTAGGATTAATATACTTGTAATTGTAACTTATATACTGTAAGTCGTTTTTGAAATTCCACACTGATAAATTTTCACAGTTGTTACAGGATATTAAGGACATACGCAATGTACCTTACCTACTGATAATTTTTCGAGATATTTTTATGCCCCGCCATGAATATGGCCGGGGCATATAGTGTTTGTCATGTCCATCTTCCATCCTTCTGTCCTTCCACCTGTCCTTCCGTCACACTTTGCATTTAGCTCTGTTCAAAGCTCAGTTTCAAAGAAACTATCCAAGATATTTTTATCAAACTTCATATGCTGATAGATATTGATGAGAGCTATGCAACTGCGTCAACCTTTTTTGACCTTGACCTTGACCTCACTTTTCTTAAATTAGTGTTTAGCTCAGTTTTAAAGATACCATTCAAGATAGTGTAATCAAACTTCATGTGTTGATACATACTGATGTAAGCTATTCAACTGCATCTATAAAGTTTGATAACACTATCTTGAATGGTATCTTTAAAAGTGAGCTAAACACTTATTTAAGAAAAGTGAGGTCAAGGTAAAAAATATTGATGCAGTTGAAGAACTCTCATCAGTATGTATCAGCATATGAAGTTTGATAAAAATATCTTGAATGGTTTCATTAAAACTGAGCTAAACACTAATTTAAGAAAAGTGAGGTCAAGGTCAAAAGAAAGGTCAAGGTCAAAAAATGTTGGCTGATACAAACTGATGAGAGCTATTCAACTGCATCAACATTTTTTGACCTTGACCTTTCCTTTGACCTTGACCTCACTTTTCTTAAATTAGTGTTTAGCTCAGTTTTAAATAAACCATTCAAAATATTTTTATCAAACTTAATATGCTGATACGTTTTTATGAGAACTATTCAACTGCATCAAAAATGTTTGACCTTGAACTTTTCTGGGACCTTGACCTCAGTTTACTTAAATTTGCATTTTGCTTACCGGTAATTTTAAAGAAACCATTTAAGATATATTTATGTAAGCTTATGCACTAATACATAATTTGGTGAAAATTTATCATCTATATCTAACTTCTTAGATTTCAATTTCAATTTTAAAGAAACTATTCAAGATATTCTCATCAAATTTCATACATTAATACAAATTTTCATGTTGCATTACTAATATACCCACGGCGAGGCATTCATGTCCTATGGACATATTTCTAGTTAATTTAAGATTATAGTGTCATCAGATGTTCGTAGACAAAAAATCAGCATGCATTACCAGGTGTTTTGAAAAGATATCAATTGATGAAAATTCTTGTATAATTCAAAGAAAAATATACAAAAATAACTAAACATATATTCTAGATAATTTGTTTATCCAAACTTGTTTTAGAAGAAGTGTACAACAGCATATATAGACATTAAAATGTAGTACACAGTTCCTTTAAGTATTGGAACTCTTCAACTCCAGGGAAAAAGACAATAAAGTTCAAAATACATTGCGTATGTCCTTAATTTGATGGCTTTAACTTCACGCCGTAGGCAAGTGCCTTATGACATACGGGTACTTTAACTCTTTTCCCCTCTGATAAACTGGCCATATTCTTAGGGTGTTTGCCTGGCTCAGACCCTTAGAGTGCTTTAGACAAATTGGTGATCTGATAACCCTATTTACTACAGGTTTAATTTCATGTAAAAAATGATAAATTGTGAACATAGTGAAATTAAAACTTTTGTGTTAATTTCCCAATCTACAGTATATTACTGCAAGATATGCATATTTCACAATCACATGAGTTACTTTTATACTGTAAGCTGTGTCTACTGGTAATGACCGTAGGCCCTAATGTATTGCTAGTTTATATGTACATGTATATTATGCTTTTGATTATAAACTGAAATTGCAATGAACAATTTAGATATAAAACTTAAAATAATTAAATAATTAACATTCAACCTTTAATTTCTTGCAGGTAAGAAGAGGGGCTGGTGTGTTGGAGACGTCTCGCAGAGTAGGAAAAGAAATGTCCAGAAGAATCTTCACTTTTATGCTCAGTGACAATCCTAATGAAATCATAAAATAATGTGCAGTGTATTGATGAACAGATTTAAAAAAAAAAAAAAAAAAAAAATGAAGGGCCCTGAAACAATACTCTCATTGTCATTTTATATCAATGTGATTTTTATTGAATCAGATTTTTTAAACTTGCATTGTATGTTCTTATTAAAGGATAGCAAATTAAATTGTTTTCACATATGACAAATATTTTTGTGAGTTTGAATTTACATGTATGTAGAAAATGTAATAATCATGTAAATCCAGTGTTAGATCCCATCTATACCTGTAGCGATGCACAGATGATTTATTGATTATTATTTGCACACATTTTAGCTCATAAATTGCAGAAATTATATATTTTTAAGGAATTACAAATAGTAAGAACGCTATTTATTGAACACAAATTCCAAAATGGAGTAGCTAGACTGTCTGCAATGCAATGTAGCAACATCATTGCAGAAGTTAATGGTAACTGCTTCCTCTTGAATAGATGGATAACTGCTGGGCAGATCTTTTTAGCAGGTCTTTCAGGACTTGAAATTGCAGTGATCATAAAAAATTAGTATTAGTAATGTATGATATATTTCTGTGTACAAAGAAAGACATTACACATATTAACACACTATAAAAGCTAAAAGCTACAGTATTTGCCTCAAAAGCAACTGTCGCAGGAGGAGGAGTTGGAAGGGACTTCCATGTCCATACAAAGAGCACTTTTAAGAAATCTGGGCTTCGTATTAATCCATTATTTTACTTTTAGCTGTAAGTGCACAGTTGGACAGAAGATATTATGTTGAAACTGAATAAACATTTTATTAAAATCAGATCCTGGAATATTAATTTTAAATAAAAAAAGAATTATGGTTTAAATATCAATGCCTCAATGTAAAGATCTATTGCATGTGCTAGCCAAGTTGTGTATTTTATTATACTGTATATAGCCAAATTCTAAACCATAAAAAAGTGTACATTTTGATTAAAATTCGTGGCCACGAAATAAAGTTGTGCTAAATAATGCCATTTAGCTTCTTCTGTTTTATGTCGTTCAAGGGAACGATATATAATTATCATTCAACTGGAATGAGCCAACGGGATATTTGTGTAATGAGCAATGAGATTTGATGCTGATACGAAGAACATGTTTCACATGAGAAGTTATACTCCTAACATGCTAAGATTTTGTGTTTTTATTTCATTACAACTATATGACAGGATTCAATAGAAAATGTGAGAAAACAGCAAATAAGCGCTTAAAGGTGCTTAGACAAAGATTTGAAGTTTATATTTTCTCAAATTTTCTGTATAATATCACAACTTATATGTTGCTATAGCCAGGTCCGGCACAATCTCTTGATTAAGCTATATAGCTTGATTTAGCTATATAGCTTTATTAAGCTATTCAGAATAGCTTGATTTAGCTATTTTATCACACTTTTTTCTCAAATGTGTTATTTTCCAAGTATGCACAGAAAATCGCACCTTAGTGCAGTGATGATATACAACCTTGAACTCTTATGAAAATAATGCATGTAAAAATCACTCATCAAATTGCGTCTCCTTAAGAGACTTTGTACTCAAAGTTCTAAAAGTTTTTGGGCTTCTTATAAAGGAGGCCAACAAGATAATTGATTGGTAATAATTCAGTACAATGAGAAGCGATCATACTTATCCATGCCTCAACGCACACAAGGTAGTGTACAGTTACCCAAACAATGGAAATTCATCATTTGCTTAAAAGTATTCAGGCGCGTAGCTGCCTATACGCAAATACGCAAGTGCGTACACATCATTTTCAGAAAAAAAAAAAATAAGAAAAAAGAGAGAATTATTCGGAGAAAAAAATCTCAGTACCATCCAACAAATATTCGTGTTTCAAATTAATCTGTGTCATACTGTGTCGATTTAAATTTTAAATTATTATGGCTGTATGATAAAATTTGAAATCTTTAATTTAATAACTGCCAAATCCAAATAAATCATTCATTATTTTGTCATTGTTCTATCATACATTGATATTTTTTTCAAAGATCTTTGAAAAATTAAATTTCAGCCACATCGTTGAATGCTATGATCTACTAGTATGATTTGCAATACGATATTTTTTTGTTCATAATTAAAATTTTGTATACGTGTTTTTAAACGTTACGAATGATTATTTATCCCATGTTTACCCCTTTATCCCGTGGATATGACTCATTGGATAATTTTTTCATAATCCACAGTTGTGACGTCACAATGGTTTTTGCGTTAGCGCGATGAAGTAAAATAAAGTGGAGTCCTATATAAAACAGTGTAAAACATTGGTTGTGAAGTATTAAACATGGGATAAAAAGAATCTCCCATGATTTTAGTTGGATATGACTTTTATCCAACTCGTTGTGTGTTTTTATCCCCTCGCCAAGGCTCGGGGATAAAAAACACACAACTCGTTGGATAAAAATCATATCCAACTACAAATCATGGGAGATCCTATATATATAAATATGATACCAATTAATAAATCGGTAAAATTTTTAGCCTCAATTATATGTACAGTAAGTTTCCATGGAATATTAATTTTCGTTAAAACAATAAATATTACTATGTCTTTTATTTCCTAAACAAAAACTAAATGGCATAATTTTTATATTTCAAGAAAATGAATGAAATATTTGGTAAACCTCCGGAGCTTCTGGGCCCTCACCAGCAAGCACGTAGTATCAGGGGAGCTACTTATTCCCAAAACCTAACCTTTTACTATTGAAAATGTACATTGAAAGGGTGGACCCCCACTGTTTGTTGCACCATTGTTAAATCATGGTAATTTGGTAATGTATTAATAAAACTTTGGTTTATGAAAGATGGACACCCCCTCCCCCCCCCCCTTTCCACAAACACACACACCCTCACACACAAACACACACACACAAGAAATAGGACTTCGAATTTTGACAATCTTCCTTTTTCGTCCTTGCTTGATAAAATTTTTAAAGTTGTAATTTTTTCCTTGCTGGCAAAAGCTATATTACGTGCCTGACCAGAGCCCTTAAACACCGAGGGGAGGGGGCTCAAGACTGCCCCCACCCAACCCCCTGCCGTTCTCTGCGTACACATCATTTCTATCCTGGCTACGCGCCTGGTATTCAAATGCTGCAATGTTAGAACTATCTTTGATTTGGGTTGTTGTTTTGATAACCCATACTACATATATGAATAGTCAAATATTTGCGACTTTTTGTCTATTTTGTACAAATAACATTTTTGTGAAAACTTGTATATAAATAGCTTTATCAAGCTATTTTGAATAGCTTAATAAAGCTATATATCTATTTCAAGCTATATAGCTTAATCAAGAGATTGTGCTGGACCTGATAGCATTTCACAAGAAAATAAAATTAAAAACTTATTTAATCTGGAAATTATTGAAACTACGAATATCGGGAGGCGTTTGATAAATACATCCTTGCACTTTCACAATATTTAACTTTATCCTTAATACTTAAGAAAAGTAGCAATTTTGTTGTGTATTAATGAATAATATTACATCTATAATCCAGAAAATTCAGAGTAAAAATGTGCGAAAGCAAAACTCACTCACTTAAGTATTGTCAGCCCGTGCTCAGTGTTGTGTAGTTGTGTGCAGCGTTTAACAAATTGAATACACCCGTGAAACGTAAACTTGTTTTGTACACATGTTCGCGTTGTTGTTGTTAATGTTTACGTTTCACCGAGTGTGTTCATTTGTTAACTCTGCACACACCACTGAGCACGGACTGGCAATACTGGTGAGAGGATTTTGCCTTCTACATTTCTACTCTGAAAGAACTGCGAACGATAGTATTGTTCTCCCGCCTACCTCCAAGTCAATTTTCAAAAGTTAACGCATTTGAATGATTTTTCATATCTATATAGATATTTATTTGAATTTTCATAAAACATTACTTCTTTGGGAAAACAAAGAGAGATAACTCTGTAATTTTGGTAAAACTTGTGTTTTTCACTATAGTAATCAACGGAAAACGGAAAATCTTTTTAAAACATCTTTCCCCCCGTGCAACAAAAAATCCTTTTTACAGGTAATATGGACTGTCATTTCAGAAATTTGTACGAAAGCTTTTTGTGTTTCACGAGGGGGGGGGGGGGGGGGCTTATGTTTACAGACAAAATAAAAACAACAAAAAATGTTTATTTTTTCACCAATTTCAAAAGGGTTTACAACTAAAACATTTTATTTTATTAATAATATATTTTCAATTTTATATGAGTAAAACATAAGAAAAGATTTAAGGAACATTTATTCAAATCCAAGAATATTTTAAAATGTGGTGATGCTTTAGAGTCCGATTTCAATGAAAAATATCGTCTACCCCCCTTATTTAAAGAGCTGGAATTAGGAGAAATTAACTATTTAACACTGGTATTAATATTATCAGTCAACTACCATTGAACTGTTCTTTGCATTCAACAAAGATTTTACGGCCAAATTGCCATTAGTATTGAATTAAATGGGTGTAAAATGTACGCGGGAATCGAGAGTTAGCGTGCGTAGTTCTTCAGATGTTTGTCTATATTAGGCATGAACCAAAGTCAAGGAAAATATGTGAGATTCCAAGTCTGCACTGCTGTATTATACTTATGTCATTCGAAGGAAGATCACCAGAGATTTGAAGTGTTCATTCTACAACAAATCATTTTTTTTTATTTTGTGCATATAAAGCGGTTTAATTCTTGTGATAGAAGGCAAAGGTTTGAGAATACACGAAGTCAGAAAAAGACAGAGCATTCAATACATCTCAATGATTCACAATAGTCTGATTAAAGTTATGTGTAGATACATGTATAAGATCATTGGCCTTGTCATGATTTGCATATTGCTCTTTTTAGGAGCATTTTTTGATTTCTAAATTTTAAAATTATTTGTGGATAAATAATTTTAGAGAGTGCTACTGTTATCTATTTGTCGTTGTGTTCTGCAGGTTTCATGCATTTCGCTCGACCCAGTTAATCAAAATTAAGTCATTTTGTGTCTAAATATATTGTTACGTTCCGATAAGTTAACCTGTGAAATTCGGATTAAATGTTGTTGACAAGTTCCGAATAAACGGACCCTGAACCCGATGTGTATAAACTACTAAAATATTTGTCAATGAACAATGAACGAAAGAAATGAACAATGATTTATTATTTGAACTTTATCAATTTGATTTATGTATTGTAATTACAAAGCA